GTTCCGCCGCTCCTCCGCTCCTCCTCGCCCTCCTCTTCTCCTCTGGACAAACCAGGCAAAGAGAACGGGACAAACAGAACAAGGGAAACGGAATCAGGGCAAGCCATCTAAGGGCAAGCAGAAATCAGAAAACAGAGTCAAGGCAGGAAGATAGGCAAACCGAGCTCACGGAAACAGAAGTATGGCAAGCGAAGAGCATTACCAGAGAAGAGAAGAGACGAGTGCTTCTGTTCCGCCGCTCCTCCGCTCCTCCTCGCCCTCCTCTTCTCCTCTGGACAAACCAGGCAAAGAGAACGGGACAAACAGAACAAGGGAAACGGAATCAGGGCAAGCCATCTAAGGGCAAGCAGAAATCAGAAAACAGAGTCAAGGCAGGAAGATAGGCAAACCGAGCTCACGGAAACAGAAGTATGGCAAGCGAAGAGGGTTACCAGAGAAGAGAAGAGACGAGTGCTTCTGTTCCGCCGCTCCTCCGCTCCTCCTCGCCCTCCTCTTCTCCTCTGGACAAACCAGGCAAAGAGAACGGGACAAACAGAACAAGGGAAACGGAATCAGGGCAAGCCATCTAAGGGCAAGCCATCTAAGGGCAAGCAGAAATCAGAAAACAGAGTCAAGGCAGGAAGATAGGCAAACCGAGCTCACGGAAACAGAAGTATGGCAAGCGAAGAGGGTTACCAGAGAAGAGAAGAGACGAGTGCTTCTGTTCCGCCGCTCCTCCGCTCCTCCTCGCCCTCCTCTTCTCCTCTGGACAAACCAGGCAAAGAGAACGGGACAAACAGAACAAGGGAAACGGAATCAGGGCAAGCCATCTAAGGGCAAGCAGAAATCAGAAAACAGAGTCAAGGCAGGAAGATAGGCAAACCGAGCTCACGGAAACAGAAGTATGGCAAGCGAAGAGGGTTACCAGAGAAGAGAAGAGACGAGTGCTTCTGTTCCGCCGCTCCTCCGCTCCTCCTCGCCCTCCTCTTCTCCTCTGGACAAACCAGGCAAAGAGAACGGGACAAACAGAACAAGGGAAACGGAATCAGGGCAAGCCATCTAAGGGCAAGCAGAAATCAGAAAACAGAGTCAAGGCAGGAAGATAGGCAAACCGAGCTCACGGAAACAGAAGTATGGCAAGCGAAGAGGGTTACCAGAGAAGAGAAGAGACGAGTGCTTCTGTTCCGCCGCTCCTCCGCTCCTCCTCGCCCTCCTCTTCTCCTCTGGACAAACCAGGCAAAGAGAACGGGACAAAGAAAACAAGGGAAACGGATTCAGGGCAAGCCATCTAAGGGCAAGCAGAAATCAGAAAACAGAGTCAAGGCAGGAAGATAGGCAAACCGAGCTCACGGAAACAGAAGTATGGCAAGCGAAGAGGGTTACCAGAGAAGAGAAGAGACGAGTGCTTCTGTTCCGCCGCTCCTCCGCTCCTCCTCGCCCTCCTCTTCTCCTCTGGACAAACCAGGCAAAGAGAACGGGACAAACAGAACAAGGGAAACAGAATCAGGGCAAGCCATCTAAGGGCAAGCAGAAATCAGAAAACAGAGTCAAGGCAGGAAGATAGGCAAACCGAGCTCACGGAAACAGAAGTATGGCAAGCGAAGAGGGTTACCAGAGAAGAGAAGAGACGAGTGCTTCTGTTCCGCCGCTCCTCCGCTCCTCCTCGCCCTCCTCTTCTCCTCTGGACAAACCAGGCAAAGAGAACGGGACAAACAGAACAAGGGAAACAGAATCAGGGCAAGCCATCTAAGGGCAAGCAGAAATCAGAAAACAGAGTCAAGGCAGGAAGATAGGCAAACCGAGCTCACGGAACCAGAAGCATGGCAAGCGAAGAGGGTTACCAGAGAAGAGAAGAGACGAGTGCTTCTGTTCCGCCGCTCCTCCGCTCCTCCTCGCCCTCCTCTTCTCCTCTGGACAAACCAGGCAAAGAGAACGGGACAAACAGAACAAGGGAAACAGAATCAGGGCAAGCCATCTAAGGGCAAGCAGAAATCAGAAAACAGAGTCAAGGCAGGAAGATAGGCAAACCGAGCTCACGGAAACAGAAGTATGGCAAGCGAAGAGGGTTACCAGAGAAGAGAAGAGACGAGTGCTTCTGTTCCGCCGCTCCTCCGCTCCTCCTCGCCCTCCTCTTCTCCTCTGGACAAACCAGGCAAAGAGAACGGGACAAACAGAACAAGGGAAACAGAATCAGGGCAAGCCATCTAAGGGCAAGCAGAAATCAGAAAACAGAGTCAAGGCAGGAAGATAGGCAAACCGAGCTCACGGAAACAGAAGTATGGCAAGCGAAGAGGGTTACCAGAGAAGAGAAGAGACGAGTGCTTCTGTTCCGCCGCTCCTCCGCTCCTCCTCGCCCTCCTCTTCTCCTCTGGACAAACCAGGCAAAGAGAACGGGACAAACAGAACAAGGGAAACGGAATCAAGCGAAGAGGGTTACCAGAGAAGAGAAGAGACGAGTGCTTCTGTTCCGCCGCTCCTCCGCTCCTCCTCGCCCTCCTCTTCTCCTCTGGACAAACCAGGCAAAGAGAACGGGACAAACAGAACAAGGGAAACGGAATCAGGGCCAGCAACCTAAGGGCAAGCAGAAATCAGAAAACAGAGTCAAGGCAGGAAGATAGGCAAACCGAGCTCACGGAAACAGAAGTATGGCAAGCGAAGAGGGTTACCAGAGAAGAGAAGAGACGAGTGCTTCTGTTCCGCCGCTCCTCCGCTCCTCCTCGCCCTCCTCTTCTCCTCTGGACAAACCAGGCAAAGAGAACGGGACAAACAGAACAAGGGAAACAGAATCAGGGCAAGCCATCTAAGGGCAAGCAGAAATCAGAAAACAGAGTCAAGGCAGGAAGATAGGCAAACCGAGCTCACGGAAACAGAAGTATGGCAAGCGAAGAGGGTTACCAGAGAAGAGAAGAGACGAGTGCTTCTGTTCCGCCGCTCCTCCGCTCCTCCTCGCCCTCCTCTTCTCCTCTGGACAAACCAGGCAAAGAGAACGGGACAAACAGAACAAGGGAAACGGAATCAGGGCAAGCCATCTAAGGGCAAGCAGAAATCAGAAAACAGAGTCAAGGCAGGAAGATAGGCAAACCGAGCTCACGGAAACAGAAGTATGGCAAGCGAAGAGGGTTACCAGAGAAGAGAAGAGACGAGTGCTTCTGTTCCGCCGCTCCTCCGCTCCTCCTCGCCCTCCTCTTCTCCTCTGGACAAACCAGGCAAAGAGAACGGGACAAACAGAACAAGGGAAACGGAATCAGGGCAAGCCATCTAAGGGCAAGCAGAAATCAGAAAACAGAGTCAAGGCAGGAAGATAGGCAAACCGAGCTCACGGAAACAGAAGTATGGCAAGCGAAGAGGGTTACCAGAGAAGAGAAGAGACGAAAGCTTCTTTTCCGCCGCTCCTCCGCTCCTCCTCGCCCTCCTCTTCTCCTCTGGACAAACCAGGCAAAGAGAACGGGACAAACAGAACAAGGGAAACAGAATCAGGGCAAGCCATCTAAGGGCAAGCAGAAATCAGAAAACAGAGTCAAGGCAGGAAGATAGGCAAACCGAGCTCACGGAAACAGAAGTATGGCAAGCGAAGAGGGTTACCAGAGAAGAGAAGAGACGAAAGCTTCTTTTCCGCCGCTCCTCCGCTCCTCCTCGCCCTCCTCTTCTCCTCTGGACAAACCAGGCAAAGAGAACGGGACAAACAGAACAAGGGAAACAGAATCAGGGCAAGCCATCTAAGGGCAAGCAGAAATCAGAAAACAGAGTCAAGGCAGGAAGATAGGCAAACCGAGCTCACGGAAACAGAAGTATGGCAAGCGAAGAGGGTTACCAGAGAAGAGAAGAGACGAGTGCTTCTGTTCCGCCGCTCCTCCGCTCCTCCTCGCCCTCCTCTTCTCCTCTGGACAAACCAGGCAAAGAGAACGGGACAAACAGAACAAGGGAAACGGAATCAGGGCAAGCCATCTAAGGGCAAGCAGAAATCAGAAAACAGAGTCAAGGCAGGAAGATAGGCAAACCGAGCTCACGGAAACAGAAGTATGGCAAGCGAAGAGGGTTACCAGAGAAGAGAAGAGACGAGTGCTTCTGTTCCGCCGCTCCTCCGCTCCTCCTCGCCCTCCTCTTCTCCTCTGGACAAACCAGGCAAAGAGAACGGGACAAACAGAACAAGGGAAACGGAATCAGGGCAAGCCATCTAAGGGCAAAAAGAAATCAGAAAACAGAGTCAAGGCAGGAAGATAGGCAAACCGAGCTCATGGAAACTGAAATATAGGCAAACAGAAGTATGGCAAGCGAATAGGGTTACCAGAGAAGAGAAGAGACGAGTGCTTCGCTCCTCCGCTCCTCCCGAGTCACTACTGCCGTTCTCTGCAGGCTCCTTTGCTCCTTTGCTCCTCCGCTCGGCGCATCCTTGAGTGAAGAACCGATCTGGAGTGAAGAACCCATGATTGCTGAAAAACAGGGGGAGGGAACACACAAACAGATGCACGAAGTCAGTAAACAGAACTGCAAAATGGAAAAGAGAGCAAAACAAACACAAGGAAACGAAATGTGGAATTGAAAGCGGAAGCGATGTGCGAAAACTGAAAGCGGAGAACAACACAAGGAAACGAGGTGAGGTGGTGGGATGGATGCACATCCATGATACGCTGGCTGCAGCTAGCATAGGGAGGAGCTATGCTACCCAAAACCCAAAAACTATGCTACCCAACCCAAAATCTATGCTACCCAAGACCCGCGGAGGACATCTACTAAGCTGCAGCCGAACGTATCAGAGGGACGTGCACAAACGCGAAATGACAGGACGATGGAGTGAGTGAACGAAAAACACGGAATGACAAAACAAGGAAACACGGAATGACAAAACGAAACGAATGGAGGGTGGCAAGAAGGGCAGGCGAGGGGAAAGAGACTTCCCAGTTGTTTTGCTGCCCACGAGATGCCAGTAATGTGTTGATGCTCCAATGCTCCACGAGGCGCTCTCCGTTCAGCGATACCCTCTCTGCCATTCAGCGATGCGCTCTCTGCAATTTCGCGTCAGATCAGGAACCAACTCCTGCACGGACAGAGCAGGTCAGAGCAGGGCAGAGCAGGTCAGAGCAGGACAGAGCAGGTCAGAGCAGGACAAAGCAGGACAGAGCAGGACAGAGCAGGAAAGAGCAGGAAACAGCAGGACCGGGACAGAGCAGGTCAGAGCAGATCGCAGATTGCAGCGCATGCGATACGCTAGGGAGCTAAATGTACAAACAGAACGGAAACAAATCGGAAATCGCAACTGGAGATAGATGCTCTTAGTTAAGACATTCATTGTCGATAAACGAAAACTCACCACAAGTGTCTCCATTAGCGTCGTTCAACGTCTTCACGAGCGGGTGGTCAGCAGGGCGGGTAGGAGGCAGCCGTGCGTCATCCCACCGCGCCTGTCCACCTCGGTCCACCTCGCTAGAGGCGTACCTCTAGCAGCGCTCCAGCAGCGCCAGGATCAGCCGACAGCGCTCCAGCAGCGCCAGGATCAGCCAGCAGCACTCCAGCAGCGCCAGGATCAGCCAGCAGCACTCCAGCAGCGCCAGGATCAGCCAGCAGCACTCCAGCAGCGCCAGGATCAGCCAGCAGCACTCCAGCAGCCCGTGCTCGCTCCTCTACTGGCACCTCTGCTGGCACCTCTCCTGGCACCTCTGCTGCTCCTTTATTGACTCCTCTCCTCTCCTCTCCTACACATTCTGCTCAGACAAGGTACACAGGGGGAAAAACAGAAAAACAGATTCGCGAAAAACAGATTTGCGAAAGAAGAGTGAAGGGAAACATGAACAACGGAAGCAGAACTAAGGCTAGACAGAGTAAAGGAGGAAATAGGGTTCGAGTAAGGGACGGCATAAGGGACCAATCAAGAGTGAGAGCTTACCCAGTAAACTAGTGACTCCTGTTGACCCTGCTTCCTCGGCCATTCGCCCAACGCCGTGACAGGTGGTGATGACAAGAGGATGGCATCCGTCCGTTCAACTTGCATCCATCCGTTGACAGGAAGATTCGTTCAATCCCCATCTTCCGTCCGTTCAATCCGCGCAGCTCAACCACATCATCTGCGCAGGTCATCCGCATCATCCGCGCAGGTCAACCGCATCATCCGCGCAGGTCAAGCGCATCATCCACGCAGGTCAAGCGCATCATCCGCGCAGGTCAACCGCATCATCCGCGCAGGTCAACCGCATCATCCGCGCAGGTCAACCGCATCATCCGCGCAGGTCAACCGCATCATCCGCGCAGGTCATCCGCATCATCCGCGCAGGTCAACCGCATCATCCGCGCAGGTCAACCGCATCATCCGCGCAGGTCAACCGCATCAGCCGCGCAGGTCAACCGCATCACCCGCGCAGGTCAACCGCATCATCCGCGAAGGTCAACCGCATCATCCGCGCAGGTCAACCGCATCATCCGCGCAACTCAATCCGCATAGCTTGCGCAGCTTCAGCATAATCAGCTTCAGCCCTTCAATCCGCAGCTTCAGCTCACGTAATTTCCCTGCTTGAATCGGGAAAAAAGACGAAATGAGAGACAAAATTTGTGCCTCGATAAATTCATACAGAAAAGCGTAGAGTGTTATGAACAAGCGCGTATGAAAGGAAAATGGCAAGATCAAGAGGGTCGTTGGCGTTACCTCTGTCGTTGACGCGGTAGCATCGTCGCGAGCGAGCTCCTTTGTAATAATGGATTGTCGCGACTGCAGACGGCTTCGCGAAGTCATACATTACCTATCATATCCGCCGTCGCCGAGATCATCTTAACTTTGCCGTCTTAACTTGGTCAATCGTCGTCTCTTGAGCCGTTAGCGCCGTCTTAACTTCGCCTCAAGCGTCGTCTTTTGACGTTGAAGAAAAAGGGCCGTTGATGGCTCTAAAGAACTTCGTCCGTTTACGGCTTCGTCTACTAGAGCGTCTCATGCGTCGGTAGAAAACTGCTTTGCGACGGTCGCATCCGTTGTAACATCGCAGACTGCGAAAGCGATTCATCAGTCGGAACTTGCAGACTTCGTACTTCGCAACTTGCTGGGTTTCGTATGACGATGCTTGAAGGATCTGAGCGAACGTTGTAGGTAGAAAATTCACGTCGCGAGCTGAATGTAAACAGCCATTGTGAAGCTTTTTGAACAGAAACCGATGAAACGGATCCAATAGTAAAACTCTGATAATAACGACCGACCGACCGCCGTAAGTTGAATCATTAGGCTGATGGACGGAGTTACAGAGTTAGAGCGATATGAACCCGGAACTTTCAATTTCTGAATACGGAGGAAGTCACAACGGAGGAAGTCACAACGGAGGAAGCCATGGACTCCGAGTAACTTGACTAGCTCGTTTGATAGCAGAGGACTACGCTGCCTAGGGAATGCCTGAGATTCTTGAAGGACGCTGTTCAGGAATAGCTAGAGCAGCTTCTGATCAGGAATCGAGAAGAGATGGAAGTGGATGGAGGTGAAGGGAGGGTAGGAGGGTTCCGATCGGTTGAGACGGTTGAAACGTAATTGAGAAGGGTGCTCTGGCGGTTTGAGAGAGAGTCAGCAAAATGGAAGTGAAGAGGGCGGCGAGAGGAGTCGGCATGCGAAGCACTGCAAGCCGTGGGGCAAGCACGAGGGGCAAGCCGCTGAGAAGTGCATGGACAGGTTCCGCTGACAGGCGGGGAGCGGGAGAAATTCGCCCAATGAAAGTGAAGGAATGCTGTAACAGTGTTGCGCTGGCGCCCGCGTTGTCCGAAACAGTGCTGCGCTGACGCGCGCACTGTCGGACAGTTCGCGGGAAAGAGTAGCCGTGTGCGAAACATTCAGAATGACAGCGAAAGATGTTACATTATCGAAAACAGGGTGTACAGCGGGCTGAGAACAGTGATGTGTGGCTTTTTGGTATCACATGGTGTGGATGGTATGGTCCATAGCTAGCACCAATCACGAGATGACATTGTACGAGCCGCGGTCAACGTTTCTGCCGGGTAGTGTCAGACCTTGGTTTTGAATATGTCCCGTGCTCGTCAACCATTCTGGCGGGAATGCGACATTCATCCCCGTTTTCACTGTTCGTCGAGATTGTCTGTGTAAACAGAACTGTTAGCAGTTTTGAAAGAGTTTGAAGCACAGAACAGTATCCTGTTATCAACATACTTATTTCGCACATATATATACTTCTCTTCCATGTCTGCTGACATCAGAGGAATGTAATGATGACGCAATGACTGCTTTGAAGAAGTTACATCCCGTAGTTTTACTGGGGGAGCAAGGCAATACTTCCTAGAGCTCATCATAAGCGTTTGAAACCATACGACTTGACTTCAATGCTTAGGAACAAGGAGGATATACTGTAGGTCAGTGCCAGCAAGCACTGTAGCCACTGCCAGAATGATTTCTACTAGCGTTTATGAACAGATTGTTGCAGATGCAAATGCAGCAGTAGGGCCCACACGTGGAGGGGCTGTCTACCATTTTAAACTAGAAAAGGCTTCTACGAAACGACCGTGCCGTTGTCTGGTAAGTCTTGATTAGAAGACCCACGCCTATACCCACTCCTATGCACATGCCAAGTCCAAGACCCACACCAACCCTCACTCCAGCATTGAACCACGAAAGCTCGCCATTCCCCTCCTCATTTTCAACATAGCCTGCAGGGAGATCGTAGAATCCTGGAAACTGGCTCGGCTGCTTCTCAGAATCATTGTAACTTCCCTGTACGAACAAATCAGGGGCAGGAAGAAACTGACAATTGAGAGATGGAAGATTGACTAAAGGCAGACGGAGTGACAATTCATACTCTCCAGAACACGGATAACATACAACACACTGAAAACCGCAGCGGACAAGAAATACAGTACATAACGAGACGGAAAAAGAAGCACTAGGTTGAGGGTAAAAGGCAAGAGTGCGGGAGGGGGGTTGGGGTGGGAGGGGGAGTGGGGAAAGGGGGAAGAAAGCCGGGTCACAGATATAAAACCAGAACCAAAACAGATTTATGCCTCGCACCTGGAAAACGACGACTTTCCGCTGATCCTCGTCGAGAGCCACCGTCCTGGCATGCATCCGGTCGGGTTCCTCAACCTCGGGAATTGCGTCCAGACCTGCCTTCCAGTGGTTCTTCCGCCTGGCCGTTAGTTGCACCGTCTCCGTCAGCATGACCGGCAAACCGTCACACCTGCCGACTATGCAGATCTCCAGAGACGGCTGAACTGCGTGATCCGACAGCTCTTGAACCGACTTGACGGCGAACCCGCTCCAGGAACTGCTAGTAGTGCAGGAGCATTCAAGCGTCCACTGACCTTCCAACGGTAACCCTCGTTCAGGTAATACGGGTAAGCCTGAAACCGTCTCCTCCAATGCCTGTCTGGGTCGTATATTGAGCGAGCAGGCGACCAGTTGTTCCCCTTCATGAAAGATATCAAACGAGAGAGTTCTTCGGATTCTTAATCTGTCCGTGCTGACGAATGTCGCTTCGGAACTTTCAGAGTCTGATCGGTCTTTTCTTAACGATAACGAGACGTCTTCCAACGGGCTTCTTCTCGCGCCGTTAACTTCCAATTCTGAGGAAATTTCACGTGGAGGACAAGAAAAGACGAGGTAGTCGGAGCTGCTGTTAATGATGTTTTGAGCAGATATTCTGGCGTAAATGACCTTCACGTCGAGCCATCCTGCTGCTAGACCTGCAATCTGAGAAGCCATAACGGCCTCAATTCCCACGAAATTCACGTCCAGCTGCCTCTTGAAGTCAAGAAGAATAATCTTTTGGTACGGCTGCAGGGAAAACTACAAACCCTACTCAATGTAAACGCGAGCTTCCTGATGCAAGAGGAAGCTCGGTTTCCCGTAAAACTGCAGCATCGACGGACTTCCAAGGAGATCACAGCAGATGACTGCCGCACCAGAAGCTGATTAGAAACTTGATGGAGAAAGATGTTTAGTGACTGGAGTGAATCATGTAGTAGGCGATTTAGTTTCCTAGCAGACAGGTCAGGCAGAGGGGAAATTGAAGTTGAGTTTAGCAGCAGCACACCCTGACAGCACACCGCGCGGTAAGCTCCGCGCAGTATGCTTCTCCCCAATCGCAGTGGACTGCCTCAATCGCAAACGATTTTCCCCGAACCCCCGTCATCCATTGACAGGTTTGGCTTTGCCCCTCCGCTTCAGCAGAGCGCAAACACGTGCGGGGGAAAGGCAACCTTTTCCGCCGAAGTTCCGCGGACGTTCTGTGATGGTGAAGGTAAGAGAAGCAAGAAAAGAACATCACATTCGTGAAGATAAGAGAGCAGCTTTAGCGATGGATGTCCACTGGTTACTTGCGACCTCGCCCAGTAAGAGTATTGCTTGTGCTTCGCGAAAGCCGCTTTTGCGAGAACTACAGCCGAGATCGTTGCGCTTTTGCGAAAGCCCTGAGGCTTGGGCTACGCAAATTGTGGGAGGGAAGGGGGATTCGCGAAACGTTGCCACATATCGCCCGGAAAACGCCAAGAACAAGAAGTTCCCGTCACTGCATGGTGTTTGCCGAAGTTGCTTGCCTGCGCCGCGCGTGCATCCAATCGACGCGAGTCAGCTGCGCATGCTGCGTGCGAATGCCCTGATTGGTGACACGATTGGCCTCAGGACCATGAGCGAGGTACATTCCGCCTCTCCGGGAAACAATGCCCCGGTGGCGGGCCGAACTCCGCTGATTGAGCCAGGAAGCTTGGCGCACATTGGGGTGTGGGCCCAAGTGCAACTCAATAAGCTTCATCCACGCTGGGTACACTGGAAAATTAGTTACACCACTACAAGAATATCACAATGAAATTCTTTATGTAATTTCATGCACACCCTTCACAGGGGCAGACTCCTATCCCCAATCCCAAGGCAGGTCCCTAGTCCACTGCAACCTATCTGACACTTCTGAAGAAAGACAACGTAGTTTGCCTGCTGTTTCTCAACCTTGACCTCGTCCTGTCCCCAAACGCGCTTCCAAGAATGCCACTTGCGAAGTCAGCGTCAAGCCCTCCCACAGGCTGAGGCGAATCTCCTTGGCCCGGGTTCATCGTCCCCCGATGCCGTCCACTCGCACGTGTTGCTGCTCGGTTCCCTATCAGCCTCCTCCTAATAGTTGCTGATGCTTGCCTATCTACTTGAAGGCGGCGACGGGTACGTCGAGGGGTCCTGGATCGGAAGCGGAGAAAAAGAGGTTCAGTCAATCGCATTCACTTGTCTCGAGCCTCAACCCAGCATGAAAGAAACCGATAAACCCAGAACGCTTAATCTGTGGGCATTGGAATCCCTTTAATGGATGCACAGCCCTCACCTCCTCTCAGTGCAAGCAGGGCAGAAGCAGGGCTCCTGGCTCGAGGGCACAGCAGGGAGCGTTTTTTAGACGACTTGAAACACACTTCCTTTATCACGTAACTTACCTCCCCTCAGTGCAAGCGGGGCAGAAGCGGGGCTCCTGGCTTGAGGGCACGGCAGGGAGCGTTTTTTAGACGACTTGAAACACACTTCCTTTATCACGTAACTTACCTCCTCTCAGTGCAAGCGGGGCAGAAGCGGGGCTCCTGGCTCGAGGGCACGGCAGGGAGCGGTGGTTCGAGGCAGAAGGTTTTGAGACGTCTTGAAACTCAGCACCTACCTCCTCTCAGTGCAAGCGGGACAGAACCAGGGCTCCTGGCTCGAGGGCACGGCAGGGAGCGGTGGTTCGAGGCAGAAGGTGTGGTGCGCTCCCAGGTGGTTGCAGCCGTCACACAGAAGTAGCAGATCCTCCATGGCGCCTGACTGGCACACACAGCACACCATTGTCTGATGGCAGGGGGGAGTGGGGGAGACAGGGGGAAAGTGGACGGTGTGAGAAGAGGGGAACATTAGACAGGCAGTGGTTGCAGCCGTCTCAGAGCAGCAGCAGATCCTCCATGGCGCCTGGCTGGCACACACAGCACACCATGGAGAGGGGGAGGTGGGGGGGATTGTGGGAGAATTCATTAATAACCATGGAGGTCTTGAGAAGAATGGAGGTTCTTCACAGAGGCACAAGCATATTGAAGAAGGGAGAGGGAAACGAAAAAACCAAAACAAAACAAAGAGAAGAGAGACGAAATGAAGAGAAGGAAAAGGAATGAAGGAACAGTCATGAAGGCGGGCTTACATCGAGTGGCGAGTCATCAGTGGGGGCCCTCCTCTTGCGGGTTGGTACCATGACAATGCGCTCGTCCTCCCCATCCCCACCATCTTCATCCACAGGTGCAGCACCATCACCAGCAGCAGCAGTAGGAGCAGCAGGGTGACTGGTGTGCTTCGCAGCCGCAGCTGCTTCTCTACTGGCCCGCTTGTTGCGCACTGTAATGAACTCAAAGGGCTCCTTACAAAGAGGACAGCACGGAATTGCTGTGGCCTGTGAGTGGGGCGAAACAAGTGGAAACTGGTCGAGATAAGTTATGGTTTTAGACAAAAACGATTAGAGGAGGGCCGAGGAAAAGCGAGAGGGGCCCGCGAGAGGAGGTCGAGGAGGCGAGGACAAAAGAAAGCCTACTCACTGCGCTCTCAGCCCACTTGTGGATGCAGGTGTAGCAGAAGGCGTGCATGCAGGGCAGCACGCCGATTCTCGAGGCCGGAGTGTCCTCCTGGCAGATGGCGCACGCACACCCCCCACTGGGACTCGCAAACGCTGCCCTGGGCGGCGTGCGGGCACCCACTGCCTTCAGGCTCCCATCAAACACCGCCTTGGTGGGAGTGCGAAAGCCTGCCTTCTGATCCTGATTCTGATTCCCGTCTGGCACTGTTCTGGGGAATGTGCGAGCAGAAACTTGCAGTGCACGGTTTAACTTGGGAGGTGTGCGGGCAGGCATGCGTGGGGGAGTGTGGTGGTGGGGAGAGAGCGGGCAGGAGGGAGCAGGGGCGTGAGTGGTATGGGTGGGGAGAGGGGCGGCAGCAGTGGCTGTAGCAGAGGGGACAGAGGAAGGAGCAGTGGGTGTGGTGGTGGGAGGATGAGCAGCGGGAGGAGCAGCGGGAGGAGCAGCGGGAGGAACAGAGGGAGCAGCAGAGGATCCAGCAGCCGGGGGAGCAGAGGAAGGAGCAAAGAGAGTGGTGGGATGTGATGCAGTGGCAAGCCGAAATGGGTCTGCAGAGCAAGAGGCCTTGGCAGGTCTCCTCCCCGGGGAAAGGTGGCTCCTTGGGTGATTGCTCTGGTGGTTTCTTTGGTGGCTTCTTGGTTGATTCGTCTGGTGGCCGTTCTGCTGCTGGCCCCTCATCGGAGAGAGCCGACTAGTCTGCCGTGAAGTGCCTGCTGACATGGAAGGTCGGGTGGATGAGGGAGGAAAGTACCTGTGGATGGAGGCTCTGCTTCCTGCCGCTGCTGCTCCCCCCCCAGGTGCACCTACCCCTGCTACTGCATCTGCTTGTGCTGATGACCACAACGGCACCTCCCTCATCTGCATCTGCTGCTGCTGAATGTGCTCCTGCTGCTGGTGCTGCTGTTGGCTCCCACCAACTGTTGCACCCGTTATAGTCCCCTCTCGCAAGAGAGGCAGCTCCGGTATCCTCCCCTCTGCTGCTTCTCTCACCTCTCCCACTCCCACCTCTGCTGTTCTCAACGGTCTTCTAGGGTCCACCGTCCTTCCCAGAAACGCCTCCAGCGTCCAAACGGACTTGCCACGTGTCATCCCGCCATTGGGCCCTTCGCCACGTGTCGGACTGCCAGGTGGCGCCGCCACATCATCAGCCAAGATGCCAGATGTCACTGCTTGACCATATGAGATGGGTTCTCGAGGCAGGTCACGTGAATGCGCCCCTCCTACAGCACAGCCTTCTGCATCCCCTTCCTCATCACCGCCACCAACCGCATTCCATCTACCATGACCACTACCATATCCTCTACCAGATGTTCTGTTATAACCACCATCCACACCACCCTCAGCAGCAGCAGCAGCAGCAATAGCAGCAGCAGCAGCCGCTCTGCTCTGCAGCAGGTCTCTCCTCCACGTTGCCTTGCGCAGTCTCTTCAATCTCTGCTGCCCCCCCTCCTCACCTCCCCTCTCGCCTTCATCTCCCCTTCGACCCAATGCTTCCCCTTCAACTCCTCCCTCCTGCCCCATCCGCCCCTCACACTCCCTTACCCACTCTTGTCCTCCAGAATCCGTTTGCTCAACACTCGGTCGGGCATGCCATGTGTTTCGCCCCACTCCTCCCTCTCCTCCCTCTCCTCCCTCTCCTCCCTCTCGCACTCTCACGTGTCCCCCTTGGCTTCCACACATGCGACTGTCTCTGACCCCACCAACTCCTCGGGTGAAACCTCTCTCTGACTCGCTAGCTGCCACGCCATCCCTCCTTACGGGGTTCTCAGGGACACGCTGTGTGAACTCAATCTCATCCTCCTCCTCTTCCTCTTCTTCTTCTGCCTCTTCCTCTTCCTCCTCTTCCTTTTCCTCCTTCTCTTCTTCCTCCTCTTCCTCTTTCTCCTCAGCCACAACCTCCCGTTCTTCACATTCTTCTTCAACCTTCCTCGTCCCCCCTCTTCTCAAATCCGGCCCACGACTCCCCTCACCTCCCCTCTTCCTTCTTTCTCCCACCTGCCAACCACCACTACCCCTGTCATTCTCACTACCCCTGCCACTCTCACTGTCACTATCCGAGAGCACAATCACATCACCACTGCCTGATCGCGCTTGCCCCAACCCTCCAGAAACGCCTTTCCTTCCTGCCCCTCCCCTTACGCCCTCCTGTGCCAACTCCTCCTTTCTTAAGTCACTTGGTGTCACATCCTCGCCCTCTTGCTGCACACCCTTTCCCCTCACACCCTCTTCAACCGCACTAGTTTCCCTCACACCCTCTTCAACCGCACTAGTTTCCCTCACACCCTCTTCAACCGCACTAGTTTCTCTCACACCCTCGTGCACCACATTCTCTACATCTTGCCTCGCATCCCGTTCCCTCATGTATTCTCTCCGCGTACCCACCAGCAACTCCCCATCTGCTCCCTCCCTTCTCCATGCCTTTTCAGCCGACTCACAAGTCACCTCCTGCTGCTCTCTCCGCCTATCCACCAGCATCCCCCCATCTTCCTCCTCTTCTCTTGGTCCCCAGAGAGACGCCAGCAGCATCCGAGCTTGCTGAAACGAGCTGTCAGATCCCTCATCCTCGTTACAAGCTTCCTCTCCAGGATTCTCAGGAACAGCAGCGACCAATGGCAGGGCCCTTTGGTTTCCTCCTGCATCCTCAGATGCCAGCTGGCCGAGCGTGCAGTCAAGGGGTCTGTAGTGAGAACCCCCCCCAATGTCAGGAGACAACGGGATTCTATCAATGAACTCCTCTTCCTCCTCCTCCTCCACATGTCCCACATCCGTTTCTCTTCTCTCCCCGCGCTCTGGTTCCCTCCCTCCAGAATCCGTTTCTCTCCTCTCCTCCCCCCCTGGCACCCTCTCGTTCGCGTCCGTCCCTTCTATCCTCTCCTCCTGTCCCCCCTTTCTCTCCTCTGCTGTTTTCACCAAAGGACTATCAGGAGCAACCTGGGAGACATCAGGAACAGGCTGCGACGGCAACAGAGAGAGGGGAACAGGAGACCCCAGATGAATCGACGGCCATATGCCATCTTCCCCAACCCCTTCATACAGGCATTTCGACAGGGAGGGGGTTTGAGAGGGCGATGGGGAGGCCTTGCGGGAAGGTGGGGGCGGGGATGGGGCAGCTTGATGGGGGGACGAGGGCGCAGGTGGGGGAGTGGAGGGGTGGAGAATTTCCACCTCGCGCACCTCTCGTGGCCTTTCAATTGTCGTCACTCCTGCTGCAGCCGATACTGGTGCTGCTGCAGCTGCAACTGGTGCTGCTGCTGGTATTGGTGGTGGTGGTGGTGGTGCTGCTGCTGCTACTGCCGCTGCTGCTGCCGCCGTTGCTGCTGCTGCTACTGGTGCTGCTGCCTCTGTTGATACTGCTGCTGGTGCTGCTGCCGCCGTTGCTATTGCTACTGCTACTGCTGCTGCTGTGCCTGATGCTGGTCCTGCAGCCGGCACCGCTGCTGCTCGCTCTTGTGCTGCACCCTGTCTTGTCGTCACTGTTGCTGTAGCAACGCCATGCCCTCTGATCTCATCGGCTAAAGCTGCTGCTTCAATCCGCGTCACCACACCACCCTTACCCCCTTCATGCCCCTCTGCACACCCCTCTGGAACATTCTCCTTACCCTGCACCCTCCTCCTCTTAAAGGGGCTGCTCTTAGTGAAGCGCCTCGCCATTCCAGCCCCCACACCTCGCCCAACCAAATCCCTCCCTCTGTCGTGTGCAGTGCCTGCCACGTGTGCAGGGCCTGCCATCGAGCCACTGTTTCCCCTCACCCCGCTGCTTTCCGCACCACCAGCCCACCCTCTCCCAACATCTTCCATAACATTCTCTCTTGCCACAAGAACCCCGGGCTCTGCCTGTGGCTTGAGAAACGGTTTCCCTTCCTCCTGCCTTGTCGCTGCCTCAGTCCGCACCCCTTCCTCTGCTGCGCCTGCCTCGCAATCGCCCACTAAGGGAAGAGCCAGCGGTGCCACCAAGGGAAGAGCAGACGGTTCATCCGGGGGAAGAGGAGGCGGGGGTGGGGTCCTTGAGTCCGCGCTGGACGAGGGAGCACGTGGTGGTGGCTCGGGGAAGAGACATGGAGGGCCCACTGCGTTGCCCCTGGGGATGGGAACGAAGGAGGGAAGGAAAGGGAAAGGAAGGAGGGAAGGGAAGGGAAGGGAAGGGAAGGGAAGGGAAGGGAAGGGAAGGGAAGGGAAGGGAAGGGAAGGGAAGGGAAGAGAAGTTTTAAAAACGAAACGTCCCAGCTCCAAAAAGTGAAGTGCAGACGCTCTACGAAAGTCCTCAAGGTGCAAACTCAAAACTCAAAAGGGGCAGACTATACGGCAAAAAGTCAGGCATAACAAGCCTCAGGGGTACACTAAGCAATATTTGCACGCAACATGTACAGGACAAGAATGCAAGGAGCATCTGGGTATACAACGCAACGGTGGGGTGGGTATACACAACGCACATCGCACACCACACCAAAACGTGCAGCACGTACGGGAGGAGGGTGTAAGGAGCTTCAGGGACGCGGCGGCAGTAGAGCAAACAGTCCTCCAGCCACCGGTGGTTAACCACCCACACTGCGCCCTCGCTGTCCCCCCTGTGCTTCCACTCCGTGCCCTCGTTACAATCACAGTCGCACTGGTTGCCATCAGCATGGCAGCGCATGGCATGGAGAGCTGCGTTGCTGCGGACGGCCAGGTCGTACTTGGGCCCGTCAAACCGATTGCACACCTGGCAGGCGGGATAGGCAGGCGGGCGGGCCGGCCGCGGGTGGGCAGGCAGGCAGGCAGGCAGGCAGGCAGGCAGACAGACGGCAGAGTGGTGGAGCATGATAAAAATGGAACGTCACAAATTCCTCTGACATTGCGCTCCAAGGAGCACAGCACATGCTGGCACGGAGCTTGAAAACAACGTTCCGAGGGAGGTTGAGATGAGGAGTGAAGTCGCATTCTGAGATGCCGTGATTCGATGGTTGAGATGAGGAGTGAAGTCGCATACCAAGTGTGTGTTCAGATGTGGGGAGAAGTCTGGTGTGAGCCGCGCCCCTGAGGCTTGAATCAGGAGTTTCACAGACGACCGCGCGAGTCTTTCGTACCCTGTCAGACTCACCACCACCTCCTCCATACCCGCCTCCCGCTCCTCCTCCTCCTCCTCTTCCTCTTCCTCCCCCCCTTCCCGTTCCTCTTCCTCTTCTTCCTTCTCCTCCTCCTGCGCTTCCGAATCTAAGACAAACCTCCTTGCCCTCCTCTTAACCCTCATTCCGCGATTCCCTCTCACCCCTACTGCTTCCAGAAACAACGCATCCCTCGTTGCCACCTCCCTCGGTCTCTTCACCCTGGCGCCCCCCACTCCCATGATCTGTTCCCTCATCCCAATCTCCTCTCTCCCTCCCGCCCCTGCATGCTTCTCTTCAAGCATCTGAGCTTCCTCTCGCCATTCATCCTCACGCACATCACCTCCCACCCTTCCATCATCACCTCCCACCCTTCCATCATCACCTCCCACCCTTCCATCATCACCTCCCACCCTTCTCCTTTCCCTAACGGAATCCACTGTATCAACGACTCTTCGATCTGCTTGCCTTCCCACCTCATCGCTCCCCTGCCCATGCCCCCGCTCCTCTGCCAACCTCCCACCCTCCCTCATCTTCTCATCATCACTAGCATCGCTGCTTCTATCTTCCCGCCTTCCGACCTCCTCTCCCCACTCTGCTGCTCCTCCCAATACCCCTTTATTCTCTGCCTCTCCTCCCCTGGCAGAACAAACTCTCTCTGTGGCCTCGCTACTGCCACAGCTCGGTATAACCACGCTGACAAGGCACTTAGGGCTTGCAGCTAGGAAAAACTGGTCACCATCTGACAGGCAGACCGACTCGCCCTTAGCCAGCACCAACACTGATGAAGAATGTCTCCTGACGCGGCCAGTATGTGAAAGTGAAATCTCCCCTGCTGCTCCAGTTCCCGGTCCTAATACCGCTCCTACTGCTTCTACTGATCCTAGCTCCCCTGCCGTTGCTGATGCACCTGCTGCTGTTTCCGTAGCTCTAGGCAGAAGAGAGTCCGGCCTGCGGCATCTTTTGAAACAAATGCGGTTGACTCCGAGACACGTCATCCTCGCCGTCACAGCTGGAAATTGCGGCTTATCTTGATCGCCAGGAAAAGCAGCAGTGCAGTCATCGCCACGGGTGGGAAGGTGGTCTGAACCTGGACTGGCAATGCGAATCTCCGCTTGTCTCCGACTGCAGCAGACAATAGATTTCGGATCGATGGGAAACGTCGCTCGACCTAGAATCGTGACAGCGTCGCGTATTTCCTGCCAGAAAATCCGGGAGAAAATCGGCGAAGGTGAAATGAGCAAATCGTATGATTGCATGGTCGGATGATAGCGACACAAAGTGAATAAGGGCCAGGGAGTCTTGAAATGAAAAATTATACTAGCGGAAATCAGAATTTCGTTACTCCCAAAAGAGAAACTCAAACTAACCTTGCGCTCGCCATTGGGAAACTGTAAAATGAGGTACGGAGGACGCTGTGCCATAGGAGCTGCCATAAGATTAATCAATGTGACACGCTGAGGTCACTGCTGGGAAATAATAAATAATAAAAAGAATGGCTACTAAACATTGAAAAGAGATGCAAACAGAAGAGTAGTCGTGATGTGCGCGGGACCATCCGCTATAGATGCTCGGTCTAGATTATCGCGTCAGATGTACGACGGACAAAACCAATTACGGGCCATGGCGTCAGTGTCACGCTCCAGGCACTGACCCGCTTTCAATCCGATGCCGCACTGTTTTGCTCGGTCACAATTGTTTGAAAGCGGTAATTCGTGGTTTACGTCAGCAACACAACAGAACTGCGTTGGACGAACAATCTCAGATGCAGAGAACCCCCAAGCGGTGAAATTGCCGCCTTGCGTGAATGGGATGGGGTCATATGATCGATCGTACCGTATGGGTGGCGTGATGGCAAAGCCAGGGATGGTGGTACAGTAGGAGTAATGCCCCAATACTGTAAGAAGAAGAAGCAACCCGACGCGGGAACCCCCACTTCCGCGCGCCAGATTCTGCGCGCGCGGACCTGAGTTCAAGTGGAGCATCGAGCATCCAATTGGCAGCTCGAAGTTCTTTCGTCAACATATCTGTGAGGAACGTCAACCGTGGTGCGAGCATCGACACCGTTGAATTTCTCCGTCGCAGCCTCCGAAGCGTCCGATACGGAGATAACATGGAACCTGATAAAAGACCACTAATTACGTTGTGCAACACTGTAAAGTTGCTTAAATGATGCAGTAAATTACTACCTATTGATTATGTGCATAAGTCCAACTCATTCTAAATTAACTGAATTTACAAATGAAGTGACAGGTCTAGCTGATCTTGAGCTTTGAGCTCCTCCCTAGCTTCAACAGATGTGGGAACCAAATGAGCAGGTACAGAAGCACCTTCCTTGGCCTCACCCATTCTAGACTTCCTTGCTTGGATCTCAGCATCCACATAAGCAAGCACCGCTTCAATGTTGCTCCTGGACCTGGTCAGGCCCATCAGACCAGCAACAGGACCCATGCCTTGCACTGCACCACCAGCAGCAGCAGCAGGCAACACTTGCCTGGATCCCACACTTGGCATAGCCTGGGCTAGGAGCTGCATTGCAGCTGCCACCACAACAGCAGGGGGCTGCAGCAGCTGCTGCTGCTGCTGCTGCGGCTGCTGCTGCTGTGAAGGGACTGCAGGTACGGATGAAACAACCAGACCAGCAGGTACAGCAGGGGCGGCAGGCACGTGCTCATCTGCATGCTCCTCCAGGTCCTCCTTAGGAGCGGGTTGCACGAAGCGCGTGTCCTTAGAGAACATCCAATCCAGGGCCGGCATGGCTCCAGGGCCAGCGGCGCTCTTGGACGGTGGCGGCGCCATGAAGATGCCACTTGGCGCAGCGTGATTGGTCGCAGCTTGCGCGGCGGCTGCGACGGCTGCTTGGGTACCGTCTTCTGTTACTGAAGAACCCCCAGCACGGACCAGAGGCTTTGGCGAAGATTCGTGCATAAGATTCGCGGCACTCTTCGTTTGCTTCCCACCGCGCCGTGGCCAGCTCGAGGCATCTCCGTTAAAGTCGCTCTCGTTTTCGTCACCCGGATGGCCGTCCGTGTTTCGATGTGTATCGACATCCTCCGTGCGCTGCCGTTGGGTCTCGTTCGCCGTCACGGCGAACAGCCGTGATTGGTCCCACGCAGAACCGTCCAGCCCCGCGAAATCAACGTCCGACGTGCAGAGTTGACGGCTCGCGGCTCCGCTGGAAGCCACACGATCCGCAATTTTGTCGGCAGCCGCCGGCATAGCTTGTCGAACAGCATCCATGGCCGCGGCGGCGGTGACGCCGTTGTTTCCGGCGCGCACATGAGCGAGCGCCGGCGGCGCAGCGCACAATCCGGCGGGAAATCCACCGATCTGGTTGGCTCCCAGCATCCCCAATTGTTGCAACGCCATCTGTTGCTGCAGAAGCATCAACGCCCCTTGCGGCGACATTTGCGGCGCCATTTGCGCGGCGATCTGCCGGAGAACCATATCGCGCTCCGCCAGCGCCGCCGCTTTCGCCGCCTTCGCCGCTTCCTCCGCCGCAAGAGCCGCGGCGGCGCGGTCCTTGTAAGAAGGCCGGCCGCGCTTGCGCGGGCGCAGCGGCTTGCTATCGTCCTTAGCGCTACGCTTCGATCCGCGGCTCGAAAGCGAAGTCTGCGGGGCCACGCTGACGGCGGCGTTGGCGATCTGCGTCGCAGCCAGCGCGCGAAGGAGCTGAAGCTGCGGGAGAGAATTCGGCCCGCTCTGCGCTGCTGCGATGCCGTCTGGAACCATAGCGACCTGATTAGCTGCGAGGTTCATCATAGTAGCGGCGTTTGCGGCGGCGTAGGGGAGTTGAAGTCCCGCGGGGGGCCAGCCCGTGGTGAAAAGGGGCGCAAAGGCGTTGTTGTTATTAGCGGTTGTGGGAAGGCCGGTCGAGAGGAGAGACGCTAAAGCGCGCTGGCGCTGCTGCATCACTAATAAGAGCTCCTGCTGCGATGTTGACATTGTAAGCGATATTTGTGAAAGAGAAAACGTAGATGTATCCAGGACCAGCTGAGACAAGGAGTGAAAATTCGATGCAAATGTTGCTGGAGGAACTAATCAAGAACACTCCTTTGTAGGAAGAGGAATTCGTGAGGGAGGACGAGGAGAGAATCGAGTTGTGCAAATCGTGCTCGAGAAACAAGTTGTTCGTTGATCGTTACGCCTCATCAGCTTTATCATCTCGTCCAGGGCCTAAGTTATCAGGGCAATTACCCTGTTTTGACTGAAATTATAGGGTGTTTTTTCAAGGAGCCCTGATTTTCACAAGGTTTTTTTCGGACCAGCCCGTGAAACTGAAGGGTAATTATCGAGTCAGCTCGGATCTCTCCGGGGAGTTCTCAAGGGGACCCGTATAATTTTAGCAGACATGTTCTCCCCGACCTGCCTTGCATTCCTCTCCGTCTCCCTCTAAACACACGTGGGCCACTTTTAGTGAATTTCCTAACCACTCTCTCCTTGTTGGCCTCAAGTGTATGATTGCCCTGTTCTACGTCGACATGGCTTAGAAGGCCAATAAGGAGAGAGTGTCTGATTGCCCTGTTCTCCCTATGTACTCTTCCTCATCGTATTTTTTTCGAAGTCTACAATAAGTATCTCGCTCACCCCTCCAGAGCCACTCCATCTCCAATCTCCCCAGCCCTCGTGCAACCCACTGTGAGTTTCCCGCGAAATTCTGGTAATGCATGTTTTCAGGCCTTTTCTGGCTCGAACCCGGATTCGTCAAGGTTTTTTTTCCGCTGGCTCGGATTTTACAGGGTCTTTTTCACAGGGGCCCGGATCGTCCGAGCTAGCAAAAATCCTAGCAATAGCCCTGATCTCGTCCTCCCCAATCGTCTTGGTGTTGGCTGGTTCATTCCTTGTTGTCTGCCAACCAATCCCAATCACCACCGGTCCACCGTGCGGAGCCATGCCCACCTGGCGCACGCGACGACGGTGGCTATTCTTCCCCGCCCACCTTTTCACGTGGGGCAACCACATTGTTGAGGCGTGGGTTGGTGAGGTGTACTGTGCATGTTGTCCCGCATGCTTCGTGCTGCATGCTTACTGGAGAATTCTAGAAGTCTGAGGTGATCGGAGTTCCTGCGCAACCGCACGCAGTTATTACGCTGGTTGCATTGCATGTGCGCACCACTCTGTTGGAGCAGCAATGCTCATTCACGACAGACATGCCTTTTCCTTACCCAGACAGTCCTGCCCCTTCTGAAGTACTTAGTTCAAGAAAAACACTACAGCAAGGCATAAACCGGAGAAGGGCCTTGTTAGCTAAATGCTACTCGCCCTTCTCACCAATCCGTTATGACAGTGGAAGTATGCATTTATTTGTGTGTATTTCATCCCCTCAGAAAAGAATAGAGGAAAGTGCGTGATGTTGACAGTCAGAGTAACTTTCGAAATACACTCACGAACGGAAAGCTACACCTAGCCTGCGCTAATTTCAAAAAGACGGTACCGAGCCGCGATTTTGCCACTTGCCCGCGATTTTGGGCAGTGAGTCAGCATCTGGCTGCGAGTTCTGACAGGGCGGATTTGCCCTCCACGTATGTGGCGGATTTCTGACCAAAACCTACACATCATTTTCGCGTCCAGTCTGAATTCTGTCTCTCCAAAGAGTTGGGAATGCTGCTGACGCGTCAGTGCATATAGACCGCAAATATGCCTTGCTACTGTTCAGTTTTGCCCCCCACCCCCAGAGGTGGCGACAAACCTTTTGAAATTGGGGGGATTGAAAATGGCGCGGGCTAGGTGTATTACAAAGCTCTCCAGGATCTGAATCAATTTGTTTGGCACTGACGAGAGCAACATTTTGTTGACGCGTGAAATGCCACAACTCGGAAGTCAGGACTGTCACGTGATCAGTGTTACAGTAGCGGCATGTGACACTTGGATGCAATCTTCTAAAGGTTCTAATCCTCTAGGCACCAATGAGAAGGAAGAGAAGTGGTGCTTTGCTGGTGGAACACGGGTAAACAGCAAACCTGCCCTTCACATGTTGAAGCTGGACTGCACCACATCAGTTTCTTTTCACATGTAACCTTCACTGCACAGGTACTTCGTGGGCAGTTGAGAATGGACGGCGCACACTATAGAAGTTAAAATAAATGTTGGTTTTTAACCACGATGGTAATGTGCAAATCAGCTGGTCAGGGCTGAAACTTACCAAAACCAGCCTCTGCCTGGTGTAACAGTTGCATATCGCCAGCATGACAGAATCATGTGAGAGCTAAATGCTGCTTCACGTTCTAAATGATTACACCTTGTGCGTCCTTTCTGTCTCGTATCGCCATCAACCACAGCTTCCAGGAGCACTCGCACATTGCTGTTTTACTACAGTACACAGCTGAGCCCATAGGTTTTCCGTTATGCAACAGATCCCTGGGAGATGCCCGTTAAATCTGTAAATTCGTCACATTACTGTGTTATGCGGTGTAACCATCCATGAAAGCGATAATATTCATTGCCCGATAATCGCCCCACGGAGGTCAATGTTTTGGGCAAAAATGGAATTGTGGACGCGTAAGCCGAGATGTGTGTTGAGATCGTCGTGGACAGCCAATCCGTGCCCTGAGAAACATGTGTTGGCTCTACAGTACACAGAAATTTGGGTGGCTTTCCTCTTCCGCATGAGACGCACCCATCGGTGAGATTCGCGTCGCGACCATCAACATCAAACTCTTGCAGTCAGCTTTGCGGCTTGGAGACGGTTTGAATTCTATGCGTCCATATACTTCGTATGTACACTACTAGTTACTAGTTTCCCTCTAGACAGAAAGTCCACTTTATATCCTTTTGCTATTTGGTGTACTATTTTGTTACTAGCCATCAATGTCTTGAGAACCTATTCATTAAGTGATCCTCCATATATTACTTTAGTGTTGCAACAAAGCCAGCTTGACCTTCGCTTTATCAGAAAACATAGGATACCAAACACGCAGATTAGTCTCCTTGTCAAGGAATGTCCGTTAGAAAAAGGGGATTTTTTTTTTCTGCTTCGTCATTTCCTTCAACATTATCTGAAACAGGATTCCCCAAGTTGATAGACAACTCAAGCAGTTACTCAACTTGGGATACATTTCTGAAGTTAGGGCTGGGGAATCTAGTAACGAAACCATCCTGACACTCTCCGTTTTCGCGCTGTCAGATCTTTCTGAGTGCGTTGTCAACCTCAATTAGGGTGTAATTCTCAGATGCAGCAGGCTCGTTGCCTCAGCGCGTCTCGTTCCAGTTCCACGCGCTATTATTGTCTTGAATATTAAGTGAGTCACTTAGCTCCATTTCCGCGCCTTACATATTTGCACAATGAGACGGAGCGAAGATGGATACTGCTATTCCTGATACTTCAGTACAATGGGACCGAACGGGGATGGAAGGTGTGGGGTGGAAAAGGAAGGGGATGGAAACGAAGTGAAGGTGAGGGGAAAGGCGGAGGAGGGAAAGGCGAAGGGGGCGGAGGGAGTGGATGATGAAGTGAGGGAGAGGGAGAAGCGAGACGGCATGGTGGGGGCGAGAGAGGCGGAGATGAGGGAAGAGGAGGAGCGAGGGAGGAAGAAGGTGGAGGGAATTGGTACAGGGGAAATTGGAGCAACGGGAGCTGTGGGAGCAGTGGGAGCAGTGGGAGCAGTGGGAGCAGTGGGAGCAGTGGGAGCAGTGGGAGCGTTGGGAGGAGTGGGAGCAGAGGGAGCAGTGGGAGCAGTGGGAGGAATGGGAGGAATGGGAGGAGTGGGAGGAGTGGGAGGAGTGGGAGCAGTGGAAGCATTGGGAGCAGTGGGAGGAGTGGACGTAAAGAGAGCGGCGCGGGTGCTGGCGGCAGCGACTCTTGGGACAAGAGAGGCGTCTCAGAAGCCGTCTGGTGACGTGCAGAGAGAAAACAGCGGAGCGGAGGGCGGGGACGTGGAGGGTAAGGGGGGCAAGGAGGAGCGGAGAGGGGAGGGGGAAGCAGCAGTGGAGAAACGAACGGCAGAGGGGAGGCGCGATATGAGTGCCACCGACAGGATCAGCAGGCTGATACGTGAGTCGAATGTAAAAGAGGGGAGAGTGGAGGAGGACGGCAAGGCAGAGGGGAGAGTGGACGTGCTTGGCTCTGGACGGATCACCGGGCAGGTGGTGTCTCAGTCAACTGAGAAGGGGAAGGAGTGTGAGAGGAGGAAAGAGAAGGAGGGGGGGAAGGAGTGTGAGAAGGGGAAGGATGGTGGGAAGGGGAATGAGTGTGAGAAGGGGAAGGAAAGTGAGAAGGGGAAGGAGTGTGGCAGCACAGAAGTTTCCTTGGTGTCAGTCGCTCCTCCTGTTGCAACAGTCTTAGTTTCATCAGGCACAGCCGTAGCAGGCTCGGCTGTAGCAGGCTCGGCTGTAGCAGGCTCGGCTGTAGCAGGCTCGGCTGTAGCAGGCTCGGCTGTAGCAGGCTCGGCTGTAGTAGGCTCGGCTGTAGCAGGCTCGGACGCTGCAGGACCACATTCACAGGGGAGCGTGGCTCGCTTGAGCACATCTGTAGCACAGCAGGAGCAAGACAAGCAGCAGGAGCAAGACAAGCAGCAGCACGGGAAACAACAGGAGGTGCAGCAGCAAGGGCAGGAGCAAGAGAAGGAACAACATAAGCAGAAGGAAGAGACGCAGCTAGAGATGCAGCAGAAGAAGGGGCAAGAAAAGCAGCAGGAAAAGGAGCGAGAAAAGCAGCAGGAGAAGGAGCGAGAAAAGCAGCAGGAGAAGAAGCGAGAAAAGCAGCAGGAGAAGGAGCGAGAAAAGCAGCAGGAGAAGGAGCGAGAAAAGCAGCAGGAGAAGGAGCGAGAAAAGCAGCAGGAGAAGGAGCGAGAAAAGCAGCAGGAGAAGGAGCGAAAAAAGCAGCAGGAGAAGGAGCGAGAGAAGCAGCAGGAGAAGGAGCGAGAGAAGCAGCAGGAGAAGGAGCGAGAGATGCAGCACCAAGAGAAGCAGCAGCGAAAGAAGCACACACCAGAGAATCTGGATGAGGTTAAAGCGACCAGCCAATGTTCTATTGTTCCACCGCAACCTATCCAGGCCCCACCACTCCCTACCCCTCCCTTAACTGCCGCACCTAACCAGTCTCCACCACTCCCCATCGCTTCCCCACCTGCACAACCCATGCATGTGGACACACAGGGAGAGCAAAAGGGGGCGAGGGGTGGAGTGGGAAAGGTTCAGTGTGTTGAACTAGAGAGAGGGAGTGAGAATGGGGAGGCACAGGAGGGAGTGAGGAAGGTGCGTTTAGAATCAGAGGGAGGGAGTGAGAAGGAGGCACAGGAGGGAGTGAGGAAGGTGCGTTTAGAATCAGAGGGAGGGAGTGAGAAGGAGGCACAGGAGGGAGTGAGGAAGGTGCGTTTAGAATCAGAGGGAGGGAGTGAGAAGGAGGCACAGGAGGGAGTGAGGAAGGTGCGTTTAGAATCAGAGGGAGGGAGTGAGAAGGAGGCACAGGAGGGAGTGAGGAAGGTGCGTTTAGAATCAGAGGGAGGGAGTGAGAAGGAGGCACAGGAGGGAGTGAGGAAGGTGCGTTTAGAATCAGAGGGAGGGAGTGAGAAGGAGGCACAGGAGGGAGTGAGGAAGGTGCGTTTAGAATCAGAGGGAGGGAGTGAGAAGGAGGCACAGGAGGGAGTGAGGAAGGTGCGTTTAGAATCAGAGGGAGGGAGTGAGAAGGAGGCACAGGAGGGAGTGAGGAAGGTGCGTTTAGAATCAGAGGGAGGGAGTGAGAAGGAGGCACAGGAGGGAGTGAGGAAGGTGCGTTTAGAATCAGAGGGAGGGAGTGAGAAGGAGGCACAGGAGGGAGTGAGGAAGGTGCGTTTAGAATCAGAGGGAGGGAGTGAGAAGGAGGCACAGGAGGGAGTGAGGAAGGTGCGTTTAGAATCAGAGGGAGGGAGTGAGAAGGAGGCACAGGAGGGAGTGAGGAAGGTGCGTTTAGAATCAGAGGGAGGGAGTGAGAAGGAGGCACAGGAGGGAGTGAGGAAGGTGCGTTTAGAATCAGAGGGAGGGAGTGAGAAGGAGGCACAGGAGGGAGTGAGGAAGGTGCGTTTAGGATCAGAGGGAGGGAGTGAGAAGGAGGCACAGGAGGGAGTGAGGAAGGTGCGTTTAGAATCAGAGGGAGGGAGTGAGAAGGAGGCACAGGAGGGAGTGAGGAAGGTGCGTTTAGAATCAGAGGGAGGGAGTGAGAAGGAGGCACAGGAGGGAGTGAGGAAGGTGCGTTTAGAATCAGAGGGAGGGAGTGAGAAGGAGGCACAGGAGGGAGTGAGGAAGGTGCGTTTAGAATCAGAGGGAGGGAGTGAGAAGGAGGCACAGGAGGGAGTGAGGAAGGTGCGTTTAGAATCAGAGGGAGGGAGTGAGAAGGAGGCACAGGAGGGAGTGAGGAAGGTGCGTTTAGAATCAGAGGGAGGGAGTGAGAAGGAGGCACAGGAGGGAGTGAGGAAGGTGCGTTTAGAATCAGAGGGAGGGAGTGAGAAGGAGGCACAGGAGGGAGTGAGGAAGGTGCGTTTAGAATCAGAGGGAGGGAGTGAGAAGGAGGCACAGGAGGGAGTGAGGAAGGTGCGTTTAGAATCAGAGGGAGGGAGTGAGAAGGAGGCACAGGAGGGAGTGAGGAAGGTGCGTTTAGAATCAGAGGGAGGGAGTGAGAAGGAGGCACAGGAGGGAGTGAGGAAGGTGCGTTTAGAATCAGAGGGAGGGAGTGAGAAGGAGGCACAGGAGGGAGTGAGGAAGGTGCGTTTAGAATCAGAGGGAGGGAGTGAGAAGGAGGCACAGGAGGGAGTGAGGAAGGTGCGTTTAGAATCAGAGGGAGGGAGTGAGAAGGAGGCACAGGAGGGAGTGAGGAAGGTGCGTTTAGAATCAGAGGGAGGGAGTGAGAAGGAGGCACAGGAGGGAGTGAGGAAGGTGCGTTTAGAATCAGAGGGAGGGAGTGAGAAGGAGGCACAGGAGGGAGTGAGGAAGGTGCGTTTAGGATCAGAGGGAGGGAGTGAGAAGGAGGCACAGGAGGGAGTGAGGAAGGTGCGTTTAGAATCAGAGGGAGGGAGTGAGAAGGAGGCACAGGAGGGAGTGAGGAAGGTGCGTTTAGAATCAGAGGGAGGGAGTGAGAAGGAGGCACAGGAGGGAGTGAGGAAGGTGCGTTTAGAATCAGAGGGAGGGAGTGAGAAGGAGGCACAGGAGGGAGTGAGGAAGGTGCGTTTAGAATCAGAGGGAGGGAGTGAGAAGGAGGCACAGGAGGGAGTGAGGAAGGTGCGTTTAGGATCAGAGGGAGGGAGTGAGAAGGAGGCACAGGAGGGAGTGAGGAAGGTGCGTTTAGAATCAGAGGGAGGGAGTGAGAAGGAGGCACAGGAGGGAGTGAGGAAGGTGCGTTTAGAATCAGAGGGAGGGAGTGAGAAGGAGGCACAGGAGGGAGTGAGGAAGGTGCGTTTAGAATCAGAGGGAGGGAGTGAGAAGGAGGCACAGGAGGGAGTGAGGAAGGTGCGTTTAGGATCAGAGGGAGGGAGTGAGAAGGAGGCACAGGAGGGAGTGAGGAAGGTGCGTTTAGAATCAGAGGGAGGGAGTGAGAAGGAGGCACAGGAGGGAGTGAGGAAGGTGCGTTTAGAATCAGAGGGAGGGAGTGAGAAGGAGGCACAGGAGGGAGTGAGGAAGGTGCGTTTAGAATCAGAGGGAGGGAGTGAGAAGGAGGCACAGGAGGGAGTGAGGAAGGTGCGTTTAGAATCAGAGGGAGGGAGTGAGAAGGAGGCACAGGAGGGAGTGAGGAAGGTGCGTTTAGAATCAGAGGGAGGGAGTGAGAAGGAGGCACAGGAGGGAGTGAGGAAGGTGCGTTTAGAATCAGAGGGAGGGAGTGAGAAGGAGGCACAGGAGGGAGTGAGGAAGGTGCGTTTAGAATCAGAGGGAGGGAGTGAGAAGGAGGCACAGGAGGGAGTGAGGAAGGTGCGTTTAGAATCAGAGGGAGGGAGTGAGAAGGAGGCACAGGAGGGAGTGAGGAAGGTGCGTTTAGAATCAGAGGGAGGGAGTGAGAAGGAGGCACAGGAGGGAGTGAGGAAGGTGCGTTTAGAATCAGAGGGAGGGAGTGAGAAGGAGGCACAGGAGGGAGTGAGGAAGGTGCGTTTAGAATCAGAGGGAGGGAGTGAGAAGGAGGCACAGGAGGGAGTGAGGAAGGTGCGTTTAGAATCAGAGGGAGGGAGTGAGAAGGAGGCACAGGAGGGAGTGAGGAAGGTGCGTTTAGAATCAGAGGGAGGGAGTGAGAAGGAGGCACAGGAGGGAGTGAGGAAGGTGCGTTTAGAATCAGAGGGAGGGAGTGAGAAGGAGGCACAGGAGGGAGTGAGGAAGGTGCGTTTAGAATCAGAGGGAGGGAGTGAGAAGGAGGCACAGGAGGGAGTGAGGAAGGTGCGTTTAGGATCAGAGGGAGGGAGTGAGAAGGAGGCACAGGAGGGAGTGAGGAAGGTGCGTTTAGAATCAGAGGGAGGGAGTGAGAAGGAGGCACAGGAGGGAGTGAGGAAGGTGCGTTTAGAATCAGAGGGAGGGAGTGAGAAGGAGGCACAGGAGGGAGTGAGGAAGGTGCGTTTAGAATCAGAGGGAGGGAGTGAGAAGGAGGCACAGGAGGGAGTGAGGAAGGTGCGTTTAGAATCAGAGGGAGGGAGTGAGAAGGAGGCACAGGAGGGAGTGAGGAAGGTGCGTTTAGAATCAGAGGGAGGGAGTGAGAAGGAGGCACAGGAGGGAGTGAGGAAGGTGCGTTTAGAATCAGAGGGAGGGAGTGAGAAGGAGGCACAGGAGGGAGTGAGGAAGGTGCGTTTAGAATCAGAGGGAGGGAGTGAGAAGGAGGCACAGGAGGGAGTGAGGAAGGTGCGTTTAGAATCAGAGGGAGGGAGTGAGAAGGAGGCACAGGAGGGAGTGAGGAAGGTGCGTTTAGAATCAGAGGGAGGGAGTGAGAAGGAGGCACAGGAGGGAGTGAGGAAGGTGCGTTTAGAATCAGAGGGAGGGAGTGAGAAGGAGGCACAGGAGGGAGTGAGGAAGGTGCGTTTAGGATCAGAGGGAGGGAGTGAGAAGGAGGCACAGGAGGGAGTGAGGAAGGTGCGTTTAGAATCAGAGGGAGGGAGTGAGAAGGAGGCACAGGAGGGAGTGAGGAAGGTGCGTTTAGAATCAGAGGGAGGGAGTGAGAAGGAGGCACAGGAGGGAGTGAGGAAGGTGCGTTTAGAATCAGAGGGAGGGAGTGAGAAGGAGGCACAGGAGGGAGTGAGGAAGGTGCGTTTAGAATCAGAGGGAGGGAGTGAGAAGGAGGCACAGGAGGGAGTGAGGAAGGTGCGTTTAGAATCAGAGGGAGGGAGTGAGAAGGAGGCACAGGAGGGAGTGAGGAAGGTGCGTTTAGAATCAGAGGGAGGGAGTGAGAAGGAGGCACAGGAGGGAGTGAGGAAGGTGCGTTTAGAATCAGAGGGAGGGAGTGAGAAGGAGGCACAGGAGGGAGTGAGGAAGGTGCGTTTAGAATCAGAGGGAGGGAGTGAGAAGGAGGCACAGGAGGGAGTGAGGAAGGTGCGTTTAGGATCAGAGGGAGGGAGTGAGAAGGAGGCACAGGAGGGAGTGAGGAAGGTGCGTTTAGAATCAGAGGGAGGGAGTGAGAAGGAGGCACAGGAGGGAGTGAGGAAGGTGCGTTTAGAATCAGAGGGAGGGAGTGAGAAGGAGGCACAGGAGGGAGTGAGGAAGGTGCGTTTAGAATCAGAGGGAGGGAGTGAGAAGGAGGCACAGGAGGGAGTGAGGAAGGTGCGTTTAGAATCAGAGGGAGGGAGTGAGAAGGAGGCACAGGAGGGAGTGAGGAAGGTGCGTTTAGGATCAGAGGGAGGGAGTGAGAAGGAGGCACAGGAGGGAGTGAGGAAGGTGCGTTTAGAATCAGAGGGAGGGAGTGAGAAGGAGGCACAGGAGGGAGTGAGGAAGGTGCGTTTAGAATCAGAGGGAGGGAGTGAGAAGGAGGCACAGGAGGGAGTGAGGAAGGTGCGTTTAGAATCAGAGGGAGGGAGTGAGAAGGAGGCACAGGAGGGAGTGAGGAAGGTGCGTTTAGAATCAGAGGGAGGGAGTGAGAAGGAGGCACAGGAGGGAGTGAGGAAGGTGCGTTTAGAATCAGAGGGAGGGAGTGAGAAGGAGGCACAGGAGGGAGTGAGGAAGGTGCGTTTAGAATCAGAGGGAGGGAGTGAGAAGGAGGCACAGGAGGGAGTGAGGAAGGTGCGTTTAGGATCAGAGGGAGGGAGTGAGAAGGAGGCACAGGAGGGAGTGAGGAAGGTGCGTTTAGAATCAGAGGGAGGGAGTGAGAAGGAGGCACAGGAGGGAGTGAGGAAGGTGCGTTTAGAATCAGAGGGAGGGAGTGAGAAGGAGGCACAGGAGGGAGTGAGGAAGGTGCGTTTAGAATCAGAGGGAGGGAGTGAGAAGGAGGCACAGGAGGGAGTGAGGAAGGTGCGTTTAGAATCAGAGGGAGGGAGTGAGAAGGAGGCACAGGAGGGAGTGAGGAAGGTGCGTTTAGAATCAGAGGGAGGGAGTGAGAAGGAGGCACAGGAGGGAGTGAGGAAGGTGCGTTTAGAATCAGAGGGAGGGAGTGAGAAGGAGGCACAGGAGGGAGTGAGGAAGGTGCGTTTAGAATCAGAGGGAGGGAGTGAGAAGGAGGCACAGGAGGGAGTGAGGAAGGTGCGTTTAGAATCAGAGGGAGGGAGTGAGAAGGAGGCACAGGAGGGAGTGAGGAAGGTGCGTTTAGAATCAGAGGGAGGGAGTGAGGAAGGTGCAGGGGGAACCAGAGAGTGGAAGAGAACAGGGGGAGGCACAGGGCGGAATGGGGAAGGGGCGGGCAGGTCCAGACAGCGGGAGAGAACTGGGAAGGGCACAGGAGAGAGTGGGGAAGGGCCGGCGGCTAGACTCAGAGGCGGGGAGAGAGGAGGGCGAGGGGAAGGTGCGGGTAGAGGCAGACGCAGAACCCAAGGTGAAGAGGAAGAAGCTGAAGCGTTTGGATAGCATACATGTGACGCGAGGGGGTGGGGAGACAGGGGAGAAAGGGGAGACAGGGGAGAAAGGGGAGACAGGAGCCTCAGGGATTGACGGGGAAAGAAACGGTGCAAGTGAGAGGGATGTGGCTGGGGAGAGGAGTGAGAAGGAAGGAGATTCGGAGTGTGTGGGTGTGCGAGGGAGGGATGAGGAGGGAAAGGAGAGTCAAGATGGAGAGTTGGAAGAGGGCGGAGGGGGGGAATTCGGGGTGCGGAGGGAGGGGGATGGGGAGAGTGAAGGGGAGAGGAAAGAGAGTGTGGATGAGAAGAGTGGGAGGGAGGAGGAGTGTGTTGGGAGGGAAAGGGAAGGAGCGAGTGAGGGGAGTAAAGAGGGGGAGATGAAAGGGGAGGGGACGAAAGGGGAGGAGGGGAATGGGGAGGAGGAGAAGGAAGTCAGGGCGGCAGAGAGCAGAGGTGGATGTGCGGTGCAGGGGAGGGAGGGGAGGGCGGTGGGGGAAGTTGGGCAGGAGAAGGAGGTGAGGGAGGTGGGGAAGTTGGGGGAGGGGAGGGAGGTGAGTGCACCTGTTGCTGGCTGTGTGGCTGCTTCTTCTGATGGTGCTGATGGTGCTGATGGTGCTGATGGTGCTGATGGTGCTGATGGTGCTGATGGTGCTCGTGGTGCTGATGGTGCTGATGGTACTGATGGTGCTCGTGGTGCTGATGGTGCTGATGGTACTGATGGTACTGATGGTGCTGATGGTACTGATGGTACTGATGGTACTGATGGTACTGATGGTACTGATGGTGCTGGCACTGGGGTCAGGGGTGGTGATGGTGGTGGGGTTTATGCTAAGGGTAACGAGGGCAGGGGTGGTGATGGTGGTGATGGTGGTGATGGTGGTGATGGTGGTGATGGTGGTGATGGTGGTGGCACTGGGATAAGCTGTGGTGATGGTGGTGGGGTTTATGCTAAGGGTAACGAGGGCAGTCAACGCAGTGGTCAACCCAACAGTCAACGCTGCAGTCAACCCAGCTGTGAGGCAGATCTAGCTAGTGGTGGCAAGAATGTTGACATGGGCTTTAAGGGTCGTGGGTGCTTGCAAGGGGATTGTGCAGTGGAGCATGACAGGAGGGACGAGGGGAAGGGAGAGGGGAGGGGAGAGGGGGAGGGCGAAGGGGGAAACGAGGGGAGGGGCGTGGGTAAGGGAGAGCAGAGGGACGGGAGGAGCGGAGATGAGAGGGACGAAGGAAGCAATGAGGGGAGAGGAGAGGGGAGGGGCGATGGAAGGAACGAGGGGACGGGAGAGGAGAAGGAGGGGGAGAAGAAAGAAGGAAAAGAGGAGGAGGAGGGGAAGGGGAGGAGGACAAAAAGGAGGAGGGAATCAAGGAGGAGGAGGGGAATAAGGAGGACGAGGAGGAGGAAAGGGAGAAGGAGGAGGAGAAGGAGAAGGAGGAGGGGAAAGGGAGGGAGAAGGAAAAGGAGAAGGCGAAGGAGGAGGAGAAGGAGGAGAAGGAGGAAGGGAAAGGGAAGGAGAAGGAAAAGGAGAAGGAAAGGGGTAAAGAGAAGGAGAAGGAGAAGAAGGAGAAGGAGGAGAAGGAGGAGGAGGAGAAGGTGGAGGAAGGAGCGAGAGCGACGAAAGGAGGCCGAGAAAAAATGCAGGAGAAGGGAAAATGGATCTTCAAAGGAGAAAAGAGTGGAAACGTTTCAGAGGGGGAGGAGGAGGAGGGGAGGGGAGGATGTAGTTATGGTTGAGCCCTCAGGAAGAGGGGGGAGGGGGAGGGGAGGGAGGGGAGGGAGGGGTAGAGGAAGGGTGTGAGGGTGGAACGGGGAAGGGGGAGGGGCAGGGGGAGAGGGGGGAGAGGGGGGCGATATGGGGGAGGGAGTGGGCGTGGGAGGGGAAGGTCAGTGGAGAGGGAAGAGGAGGAAGAGGAGGAAGAGGAGGAGGAGGCGAGTGAGGGGAGTAGTAGTGAGGAGAGTGGAGGGGAGGAGAGATTAGACGGAGCAGGGTTGGACGTCAGGGGATGGAGGGGAAAAGGGTGGAAGATGACGAAAAAGACAAGGAGAGTGGGAGAAAGAAAGAGGAGAAGGAGCGTATGGGACGGAAAGAGGATGAGGGGGAAGGAGAAGGAGAAGGAGGAGGAGGAGGAGGAGGAGGAAGGAAGATGAGGAAAAGGAAGGACCGAAAGAGATGGGGGGTGGGGAGATGGAAGAGAAAGCTAGTGAGAAAGGAGGAGAGGAGGGGGAGGTAAAAATCAGTGGTGATTATGATGGTGATGGTGAAAAGAAGGAAGAGGAGAATGAAGAGGTAGCGAAGGTGCTTGATAAGGGAGGGAGTGAGGGGAAGCTTCTGGGAGAGGGGCGGCTTGAGGAGGAGAAGAAGCAGGGGAAGGGAAAGATGAAAGAACAGGTGGTGGAAAGGCAGAAGGATGAAGAGGAGCAGGAGGATCATGCTGTTTCTCATGCTGCTGATGGAACTGCTGCTGCTGCCGCTGATGCTGATCCTTGTGCTTCTGCTGCTGCTGCTTCTCCTGCTGATGCTGCGGCTGGTAATGCTGCTGCTGCTGATCCTTCTGGTTCTGCTGCTGCTTCTGCTTCTGCTTCTGCTTCTGTTTCTGTTTCTGTTTCTGCTGCTGCTGTTGCTTCTGATGCGCATGATGCCAATGGTGACAAAACTGATAACACTGACGAGGATGATGACGATGATGATGATGATGACGACGATGACGTGAGGGTGGTGAAGGGAGAGAGCCAGGTGAGGAGAACCCGGGACCGGGACAGGGAGCGGGAGAAAGGGCTCCCCCGAAAGGACGTCATGAAGCTGAGAGCAGTGCGAGAGCTGAAAGGCTACGCAGGCCAGCAGGACATCGGACCCAGCGGTGAGAAGCTCGGGTTGGTGCCGTATGTCTCCATGGGTATCAGCCCGCTGTCACTGCAGGGGGAGACGGTGCGCAAGGTGCATCGAATGCGGACGCCGCGGCCGTCCTTTGTGAAGTTTGTCACCCGCCACGTCATCGCGACCGCGGATAAGGGCCTGGATCTCCCCGGGCCGTTCGTGAAGCGCCACCTGGTGGGGTCCGATCGGATGGCTGTGATTGGCCCCGGCGGGCGGCGGTGGGAGATGCGATGGGGGGCGTATTCCAAGGGAGTGCAGGTGTATAGGCTAAAGGACGGGTGGGGGGCCTTGGCTGGGACTCTGGAGTTGCAAGAGGGAGAGGCTCTTGTGTTTGAGGTGGAAAAGCCGAATCTGCTGCGGCTGCATCTGGTGCAGGATGTGGTGCTGAATACGAGTGCTATGATGGTGCCGCGAATGCGGGAGGTGGCGAATGCAGGTGAAGCTTCTGCTGCTGCTGCTGCTGCTGCCGCTGCTGCTGTTGCTGCTGGTGGTGGTGCTGCTGGTGGTAGTGCGGGTGCTGTGGATGATCGTGCAGTTGTGGGTGGGAAGGGGGATAGGAGTGGGAAGGGGGATAGGAGTGGGAAGGGGGATAGGAGTGGGAAGGGGGATAGGAGTGGGAAAGGGCTGGTGACTGGACAACGGGGCTTCGCAGTGAACGAGGTGGGGGTTCAGGCGAGGGGTGCGCTGGCAGCGGGTGAGGGGAAGGAGGCAGCATTGAGTGGGAAAAAGAGGAGGAGAAAGCAGTTGGGGAACAAGGAGGAAGAAGAGGAGGGGAGTGAGGGGAAGAAGGGGCGCGAGGAGGAGGATGAGGGTGAGGAGGGGGGAGAGGAAGGAGGTTGGAAGGATGGGTGGAGGCATGAGAGGAAGAAGGAGAGGGAGCATGAGAGGGGGGATGAGAGGGGGGATGAGAGGCCGTGAGTGGGGGTAGGAGGAGAGCTGACAAGGAGTGCAGGAGCGAAGGTGGCAGGCAAAGGGGAAAAGTGAGGCAAAGGGGAAAAGCGAGGCAAAGGGGAAAAGCGAGGCAAAGGGGAAAAGAGAAGCAAGATGAGCAGCGGGAAAGTAGGAGTGAAGAAGAAGAGGCAAAAGGCACTGGGGCAAGGAACAGGGGTGCCAGGCACACCTGCTCCTGGCGTCCCCCGGTCTCCTTCCGCTGCTGTTGCTTCCGCTGCTGTTGCCCTTGCTCGCCCTGCTACCACCACCCCCCATGGAGTTTCGCTGTTTCCTCTCGCGCCCCCATCACCCAAACCTGTCTCTGCTGCGCCCACTCCTGCTGCTGTTTCTCCTCTGGTTTCCTCTCCTGCTCCTGCTCCTCCTGCTCCTCCTGCTCCTGCTCCTCCTGCTCCTGCTCCTGCTCCTGCTGCTCCTGCTGCTCCTGCTGCGTGCGCTATCGCCCCTGTTCCCCTGAAGGGGCGAGTGCGTGTGGCGCCACCAGGGGGGTGGAGGGTGGCTCGACTTGTGCCCTCTAAGCGAGTCACTCGACTTGTGCCCTCCGTTGCTGCTGCTGCTGCTTCTACTGGTGCTGCTGGTGCTGATGCTGGTGCTGCTTCTGCTGGTGCTGCTATTTCTGATGCTGGTGGTGCTTCTGCTGGTGATGCTGCTGCTGCTGCTGCTGCTGCGGTTGCTGGTGCTGGTGTTGCTTCTACTGGTGGTGGTGGTGGTGGTGGTGCTGCTGCTGCTGCTGCTGCTGGTGCTGGTGCTGGTGCAAATTCAGCAGCAGCAACGTCAGCAGACGCAGAAGCAGCAATAAACTTGGAAGCAGGAGCGGCAGGAGCAGCAGGAGCGGCAGGAGCAGCGGGAGCGGCAGGCGCAGCAGGAGCGGCAGATGACGGAAACCCAAGAGGGCAGGGCACAGGCACGGACGACCCGTACCTCGCCACTCTGCTGTGGGTGCAGCGAGTGAGGGCCGAGCACCAGGCAGCGAGTGTGGGCCGAGCACCAGGCAGCGAGTGTGGGCCGAGCACCAGGCAGCGAGTGAGGGCCGAGCACCAGGCAGCGAGTGAGGGCCGAGCACCAGGCAGCGAGTGAGGGCCGAGCACCAGGCAGCGAGTGAGGGCCGAGCACCAGGCAGCGAGTGAGGGCCGAGCACCAGGCAGCGAGTGAGGGCCGAGCACCAGGCAGCGAGTGAGGGCCGAGCACCAGGCAGCGAGTGTGGGCCGAGCACCAGGCAGCGAGTGTGGGCCGAGCACCAGGCAGCGAGTGAGGGCCGAGCACCAGGCAGCGAGTGTGGGCCGAGCACCAGGCAGCGACTGTGGGCCGAGCACCAGGCAGCGAGTGAGGGCCGAGCACCAGGCAGCGAGTGAGGGCCGAGCACCAGGCAGCGAGTGAGGGCCGAGCACCAGGCAGCGAGTGAGGGCCGAGCACCAGGCAGCGAGTGAGGGCCGAGCACCAGGCAGCGAGTGAGGGCCGAGCACCAGGCAGCGAGTGAGGGCCGAGCACCAGGCAGCGAGTGTGGGCCGAGCACCAGGCAGCGAGTGAGGGCCGAGCACCAGGCAGCGAGTGAGGGCCGAGCACCAGGCAGCGAGTGAGGGCCGAGCACCAGGCAGCGAGTGAGGGCCGAGCACCAGGCAGCGAGTGTGGGCCGAGCACCAGGCAGCGACTGTGGGCCGAGCACCAGGCAGCGAGTGAGGGCCGAGCACCAGGCAGCGAGTGAGGGCCGAGCACCAGGCAGCGAGTGAGGGCCGAGCACCAGGCAGCGAGTGAGGGCCGAGCACCAGGCAGCGAGTGAGGGCCGAGCACCAGGCAGCGAGTGAGGGCCGAGCACCAGGCAGCGAGTGAGGGCCGAGCACCAGGCAGCGAGTGTGGGCCGAGCACCAGGCAGCGAGTGAGGGCCGAGCACCAGGCAGCGAGTGAGGGCCGAGCACCAGGCAGCGAGTGTGGGCCGAGCACCAGGCAGCGAGTGAGGGCCGAGCACCAGGCAGCGAGTGAGGGCCGAGCACCAGGCAGCGAGTGAGGGCCGAGCACCAGGCAGCGAGTGAGGGCCGAGCACCAGGCAGCGAGTGTGGGCCGAGCACCAGGCAGCGGGTGAGGGCCGAGCACCAGGCAGCGAGTGAGGGCCGAGCACCAGGCAGCGAGTGAGGGCCGAGCACCAGGCAGCGAGTGTGGGCCGAGCACCAGGCAGCGAGTGAGGGCCGAGCACCAGGCAGCGAGTGAGGGCCGAGCACCAGGCAGCGAGTGTGGGCCGAGCACCAGGCAGCGAGTGAGGGCCGAGCACCAGGCAGCGAGTGAGGGCCGAGCACCAGGCAGCGAGTGAGGGCCGAGCACCAGGCAGCGAGTGTGGGCCGAGCACCAGGCAGCGAGTGAGGGCCGAGCACCAGGCAGCGAGTGAGGGCCGAGCACCAGGCAGCGAGTGAGGGCCGAGCACCAGGCAGCGAGTGTGGGCCGAGCACCAGGCAGCGAGTGAGGGCCGAGCACCAGGCAGCGAGTGAGGGCCGAGCACCAGGCAGCGAATGAGGGCCGAGCACCAGGCAGCGAGTGTGGGCCGAGCACCAGGCAGCGAGTGAGGGCCGAGCACCAGGCAGCGAGTGAGGGCCGAGCACCAGGCAGCGAGTGTGGGCCGAGCACCAGGCAGCGAGTGAGGGCCGAGCACCAGGCAGCGAGTGAGGGCCGAGCACCAGGCAGCGAGTGAGGGCCGAGCACCAGGCAGCGAGTGTGGGCCGAGCACCAGGCAGCGAGTGAGGGCCGAGCACCAGGCAGCGAGTGAGGGCCGAGCACCAGGCAGCGAGTGTGGGCCGAGCACCAGGCAGCGAGTGAGGGCCGAGCACCAGGCAGCGAGTGAGGGCCGAGCACCAGGCAGCGAGTGAGGGCCGAGCACCAGGCAGCGAGTGTGGGCCGAGCACCAGGCAGCGAGTGAGGGCCGAGCACCAGGCAGCGAGTGAGGGCCGAGCACCAGGCAGCGAGTGTGGGCCGAGCACCAGGCAGCGAGTGAGGGCCGAGCACCAGGCAGCGAGTGTGGGCCGGGCACCAGGCAGCGAGTGAGGGCCGAGCACCAGGCAGCGAGTGAGGGCCGAGCACCAGGCAGCGAGTGAGGGCCGAGCACCAGGCAGCGAGTGAGGGCCGAGCACCAGGCAGCGAGTGTGGGCCGAGCACCAGGCAGCGAGTGAGGGCCGAGCACCAGGCAGCGAGTGAGGGCCGAGCACCAGGCAGCGAGTGAGGGCCGAGCACCAGGCAGCGAGTGTGGGCCGAGCACCAGGCAGCGAGTGAGGGCCGAGCACCAGGCAGCGAGTGAGGGCCGAGCACCAGGCAGCGAGTGTGGGCCGAGCACCAGGCAGCGAGTGAGGGCCGAGCACCAGGCAGTGAGTGAGGGCCGAGCACCAGGCAGCGAGTGAGGGCCGAGCACCAGGCAGCGAGTGTGGGCCGAGCACCAGGCAGCGAGTGAGGGCCGAGCACCAGGCAGCGAGTGAGGGCCGAGCACCAGGCAGCGAGTGAGGGCCGAGCACCAGGCAGCGAGTGTGGGCCGAGCACCAGGCAGCGAGTGAGGGCCGAGCACCAGGCAGCGAGTGAGGGCCGAGCACCAGGCAGCGAGTGAGGGCCGAGCACCAGGCAGCGAGTGTGGGCCGAGCACCAGGCAGCGAGTGAGGGCCGAGCACCAGGCAGCGAGTGAGGGCCGAGCACCAGGCAGCGAGTGTGGGCCGAGCACCAGGCAGCGAGTGAGGGCCGAGCACCAGGCAGCGAGTGTGGGCCGAGCACCAGGCAGCGAGTGAGGGCCGAGCACCAGGCAGCGAGTGAGGGCCGAGCACCAGGCAGCGAGTGTGGGCCGAGCACCAGGCAGCGAGTGAGGGCCGAGCACCAGGCAGCGAGTGAGGGCCGAGCACCAGGCAGCGAGTGAGGGCCGAGCACCAGGCAGCGAGTGAGGGCCGAGCACCAGGCAGCGAGTGAGGGCCGAGCACCAGGCAGCGAGTGAGGGCCGAGCACCAGGCAGCGAGTGTGGGCCGAGCACCAGGCAGCGAGTGTGGGCCGAGCACCAGGCAGCGAGTGAGGGCCGAGCACCAGGCAGCGAGTGAGGGCCGAGCACCAGGCAGCGAGTGAGGGCCGAGCACCAGGCAGCGAGTGTGGGCCGAGCACCAGGCAGCGAGTGAGGGCCGAGCACCAGGCAGCGAGTGAGGGCCGAGCACCAGGCAGCGAGTGAGGGCCGAGCACCAGGCAGCGAGTGAGGGCCGAGCACCAGGCAGCGAGTGAGGGCCGAGCACCAGGCAGCGAGTGAGGGCCGAGCACCAGGCAGCGAGTGTGGGCCGAGCACCAGGCAGCGAGTGAGGGCCGAGCACCAGGCAGCGAGTGAGGGCCGAGCACCAGGCAGCGAGTGTGGGCCGAGCACCAGGCAGCGAGTGTGGGCCGAGCACCAGGCAGCGAGTGAGGGCCGAGCACCAGGCAGCGAGTGAGGGCCGAGCACCAGGCAGCGAGTGAGGGCCGAGCACCAGGCAGCGAGTGAGGGCCGAGCACCAGGCAGCGAGTGAGGGCCGAGCACCAGGCAGCGAGTGAGGGCCGAGCTATGTTGCGGAAGACGCGTCTAGCGTCTTAGACGGTTGCGTCTAGACGCAGCGTCTAAGACGCTAGACGCATTTCAGGCCAGATTAGACGCATATTAGACGAAACCCCGGGCAGGCCAAAAAAATAGTACGGGCAGCCTAAAAAACCTTCTATAGGCCATGGGGAGGGGGAGGGGGAATGGGATGAAGACGACCTCTGGGTATAGCAGACGAATTAGGCTGCTGGGACATTCATCGAGATCTAGAACTTCAAGATCTAACATTGACGCTCACAATTTCATACCTCAAATTGGTTGGGTTTTCTAGATTCAGTGCGGTGAAAATCGGTAATGGGAGGGGGAATCGGTTGGTCACGAAATGGTTCACAAATCTGTTGGCTGCGGGGGACGAATTCCAATTTCGACTTAGCTTTCCGTTTCTCAATTTCTCCCACACCTCCTCCGATGCTTCTTCTAGACCGTCTTTATTTGGCCGGCTCATTGTAGAGCAGAGGCGTGCAACACTTTAGTCCTAGCTGCTGATACTATTATGGGGGGTGGGGCTAACAGCTAGCTTTGGGGGATGTTATCAAGGTCGAAATGGGTGGGAGGGGTTGAAATTTCGCGCGCGCGCGTTTTTTTTTTTCGGGCTGACCGAAAATTTTCCCCCCATGCGTCTAGCGTCTAAAGGTGCGTCTTGCGTCTAGCGTCTAGACGCTGCGTCTAGACGCTAGACGCAGGACGGTCCCTGCGTCTTCCGCAACATAGGGGCCGAGCACCAGGCAGCGAGTGTGGGCCGAGCACCAGGCAGCGAGTGTGGGCCGAGCACCAGGCAGCGAGTGAGGGCCGAGCACCAGCAGGCAGCGAGTGAGGGCCGAGCACCAGGCAGCGAGTGAGGGCCGAGCACCAGGCAGCGAGTGAGGGCCGAGCACCAGGCAGCGAGTGTGGGCCGAGCACCAGGCAGCGAGTGAGGGCCGAGCACCAGGCAGCGAGTGTGGGCCGAGCACCAGGCAGCGAGTGAGGGCCGAGCACCAGGCAGCGAGTGAGGGCCGAGCACCAGGCAGCGAGTGAGGGCCGAGCACCAGGCAGCGAGTGAGGGCCGAGCACCAGGCAGCGAGTGAGGGACGAGCACCAGGCAGCGAGTGAGGGCCGAGCACCAGGCAGCGAGTGTGGGCCGAGCACCAGGCAGCGAGTGAGGGCCGAGCACCAGGCAGCGAGTGTGGGCCGAGCACCAGGCAGCGAGTGAGGGCCGAGCACCAGGCAGCGAGTGAGGGCCGAGCACCAGGCAGCGAGTGAGGGCCGAGCACCAGGCAGCGAGTGAGGGCCGAGCACCAGGCAGCGAGTGAGGGCCGAGCACCAGGCAGCGAGTGAGGGCCGAGCACCAGGCAGCGAGTGTGGGCCGAGCACCAGGCAGCGAGTGAGGGCCGAGCACCAGGCAGCGAGTGAGGGCCGAGCACCAGGCAGCGAGTGTGGGCCGAGCACCAGGCAGCGAGTGTGGGCCGAGCACCAGGCAGCGAGTGAGGGCCGAGCACCAGGCAGCGAGTGAGGGCCGAGCACCAGGCAGCGAGTGAGGGCCGAGCACCAGGCAGCGAGTGAGGGCCGAGCACCAGGCAGCGAGTGTGGGCCGAGCACCAGGCAGCGAGTGAGGGCCGAGCACCAGGCAGCGAGTGAGGGCCGAGCACCAGGCAGCGAGTGTGGGCCGAGCACCAGGCAGCGAGTGTGGGCCGAGCACCAGGCAGCGAGTGAGGGCCGAGCACCAGGCAGCGAGTGAGGGCCGAGCACCAGGCAGCGAGTGAGGGCCGAGCACCAGGCAGCGAGTGAGGGCCGAGCACCAGGCAGCGAGTGTGGGCCGAGCACCAGGCAGCGAGTGTGGGCCGAGCACCAGGCAGCGAGTGAGGGCCGAGCACCAGGCAGCGAGTGAGGGCCGAGCACCAGGCAGCGAGTGAGGGCCGAGCACCAGGCAGCGAGTGAGGGCCGAGCACCAGGCAGCGAGTGTGGGCCGAGCACCAGGCAGCGAGTGAGGGCCGAGCACCAGGCAGCGAGTGAGGGCCGAGCACCAGGCAGCGAGTGTGGGCCGAGCACCAGGCAGCGAGTGAGGGCCGAGCACCAGGCAGCGAGTGAGGGCCGAGCACCAGGCAGCGAGTGAGGGCCGAGCACCAGGCAGCGAGTGTGGGCCGAGCACCAGGCAGCGAGTGAGGGCCGAGCACCAGGCAGCGAGTGTGGGCCGAGCACCAGGCAGCCTTGGCTCGAGCTATGGAGGGGGAGGAGGAGGACGAGGCTGAAAATAAGACGGAAGAGGCAAAAGTGAAGGCTGAGGGGGGGGTGACGGCAGAGGGAACGGGGGAGAAGGAGGGGAAAGGAGGCTGGGGGAGGGGGAAAGTGAGGGAAAATGGTGAAGGGGTGGATGAGGATCGTGCGGATAAGGGGAAAGGTGAGGGGGGAGGGGAGGTGGGAAGGAAGAGGCAGAGGACGGGGGATGAAGAGGAAAGGGAATGCCAGTGCTGCTAGTGGTCCTGGTAATGGCCATGGCAATGGCTCTGGCAGTGCGTATGGGTATGGTTATTACAAATACGGTTACAACAAGTATGGTTACGGGTACGGCTTTGGTGGGATGGGAGGAAGCGTGGGTGGGAGGAAGAGGCGGAGGAGAGGCAGAGAGGAGCGGGACGAGAAGGGGACATACAAGGTGAACTCCAGATGGCGCATCTCCCTCACTGGCGTCACCATTGTCCCTCCTCCTCCGCCTCTCGCTCACCCTAACTGGCCCGCTCCTCCTCCTCCCCTTCATCCTCCTCACCCCATCTCCCCCTCCTCTCCCCCTTGCTCTCCTCCTCCGGTTTCCGCTGCTCTTCCCGTTTCCCCCGTCCCTCCTGCTGCTTCTGTAGCTGCTGCTGCTGCCGATGCGACGACTGCCAGTGGTGCTGCAACCCCCTCTGCCATAGCAACCCCCTCTGCCATAGCAACCCCCTCTGCCATAGCAACAACCCAAGGGCGGGTACAGACAGCGAAGCAGGAAGGGAAGTACGCAGGGAAGAAGGCAGAGAAGCTGCCAGAGAAGCTTCCAGGGAAGCAGGGGGCAAAGGCAGGGGGAGGGAAAGGGACGGGAGGTAAGAAGGGAGGGGTGAGGGCAGGAGGGAGCAGCAAGCAGGCAGCAGAGAGCATTGATCATGAGACTGCTTCTTCTCAGGTGAGCCGTGCGGTGGTTCCCTCTGCTGTTGCGGCCCCAGGTGATTTAGCAGAAGCACCTGATGCAGCACCTGAAGCAACACCTGATGCAACACCTGACAAAGGACTTTACGGAACACCTGAAGAAACTCCTATTGCATCACTGGGTAGAACGCCTGCCAAGAAGGCTGTCAAGGCACGTGTCAAGACAACGAACAAAACACCTGGAAAAACTCCTGGCGGGTCTCCTGGCATACCCCCTGGAAAAACACCTGACAAAACACCTGTTGGAGAGAGGGTGCCACAGAGGGGTGTGAAAGGGCGCTGGGTGCGGGCCCGGACAGATGAAAAGCGAGAGGATTTGAGAATCCCTTCGGATTCGAAAGTGCTGTCAAATTCCACCCAGAGAAAGGAAAATGGCGCTTGTGTGGAAGGGGGAGATGAAGTGGAAGATGAAGGGGAAGATGAAGGGGAAGATGAAGGGGTAGGGAAGAAGAGAGGGGGAGAGGAAAGGGAAGGGGAAAGGGAAGGGGAAAGGGAAGGGAAAGGGAAGGAGGAAGAGGGAGGGGAAGGGGTAGAGGGAGGGGAAGAAGAGGAAGAGGAGGTGGAGGTGATTGAAGCTGGACTCGCAACCATGCCACCCACCACTACTCCCCCTTCCACCACCACCACCACCACTGGCACTGGCACTACCACTGGCGGCACCATTCCAAACACCACTACACCGCTTTCCACCAATCCCACCACCACCACACCCACTACCACCACACACAACACCACCGCACCGACTCTCACCACCCCTACCACCACTCCCACCATCACCCCCACCACCACCACCACGCCCGCTCCCACCAGCTCTACCAGCAGAAAGGCCTCTCTGCGGAGCCGCGTGCACCTGCCAGCCGCCACAGGGTACCTGGGAGTTACCCTCAAGGCGCCCGGCCGGTACCAGGCTCGCATGCTGGCGCGCGATGGGACACGTCAGCGCCACGTGGGTTTCTATGCCACTGCTGAGGAGGCTGCGCTGGCGTATGACGTGGCAGTGCTGCGCGTGCATGGCGCTCAGGCGAAGCTGAATTTCCCTGCGGATGAGCGGAGAGGGGAGGGCGGGAAGGAGGCGCCGAGTGGGGGCGGTGATGTGGCAGGTCAAAATTTGGAGAAATTGGACGGTTCGTTGTTGTCCCCCCGGCGGGAAGCTGGTGCAGAAGCTGCAGGTGAGGGTGGGGCCGAAGCTGACGGCGAGGCTCGGATAAGCGTGCAGAAAGCAGCAGTGAATGGGGACGAGAAGGGCAGGGAGGAGAAGGACAAGGGGTTGACCCCGTCAGAACCCCCTCCCCCAGGTGTCACCTCGTCCCCAACGCTACCTCCCCCAATGCTGCCTCCCCCAATGCTACCTCCCCCAGTCCCCTCCTCCACAGTCAGTCGCAAGGTAAGGAAACGCCACCCCCCTGGGCCCCGCCCCTCTGCGCTCGCCCCATCTGCCTCCAAAAACGCTACTCAGGTGTTCTCTCAGGTGCCCCTTCAGGTGCCAGCTGGCCAGGTGTTTTCTCAGGTGACTTCTCAGGTGCCGGATGGTCAGGTGTTTTCTGAGGTGCAGGTGGGGAGTGAGGGAGGAGGGGTTGGAGTGAGGGTGGTGGGTGAGGAGCCTGAGAGGAGTGCAATGGAGACGGTTCGGGTGACAGTTGGGGAGGTGACTATAACGGGGGCAGTGGGGGAAGTGTGTGTGGTGGGGGCAGTGGAAGGAAAAGAGGGACAGAAGCAGGGAGAGACTGCCGCAGGTCGAGCTGCCAGGTGTCAGCAGGTGATTGGGCCAGAGAGTAACGCTGTGGTGGTCGGTGAGAGGAGTGAGACGCGAGGGAACGGACAGGTGGAGAGCGGTGGGGATGGGAGTGGCGGAGTTGAGAGCGGTGGTGCTGGGGGCAGTGCGGCACAGGGTGAAGGAGGGAGGGGGAGGGGTAGAATCAGGAAGAGGCAAAGAGCAGGTAGGGATGCGGGCGAGCAGTGGGAGAAGCAGCAGGGGAGAGGTTTGGGGAGGGGCGTGGGGAGGGGTGCGGGAAGTGGCGTGCGCATGGGCAGGGGCATGGAAGGGCTAAAAACACATACGAATGAGGGCACAGAGGAAGAGGCTGAGGCAACGCCTAGCTTTAGTCAGCAGCAGCAGCAGCAGCAGCAGCAGCAGCAGAAGAAGAAGTTGTTTTCACCCCAAGCCGAGGCATCATCAGCCCCTGCAGCACTAGCTGTCCCACCTCGTTTGCCCTCCCCCCATACCATGCTCCTCTCCCTCCCCCACTTGCCGCCTCCCCCTTGCCGCCCGTCTCTCGCCCCCCCCCCCACCACCACCACCACCCCCACAAGCCCCCTCACCCCGTCCCCGGCACCCTTCTCCTCACAGCCCAGATCCGGACCTGCTTCTTCCAAACCTGTTGCTTCCGAGCCTGGGAGTCCCGGACCTGTAGGTTCCAGGCCTGTGGGTTCCAGACCTGCTGGTTCCGAACCTGCTGGTGCGCCTGGGGATGCTGGTGGTGTGGGTGGGATGAATAAGAATGGTCCACGAGCGTGTGAGAGCAGTGGCGGCGGTGGTGCTGCAGCTGCCGCTGCTGCTGTTGATGGTGGTGCTGGGGGTGGCGAAGATGTTGGGAGTGGTGGGGGGTGGTTGAGGGGCCTGGATCTAAACGAAGAGTGTGAGGATGCTGTTAGGGAGGCATGGAAGGAGGCTGGGGGGGTTGGGGAGGAAGGAGCAGCAGTTGCAAAGACAGCTGCACCTAGTGCTTCAGAAGCACGCGGAGAAGCACCAGCAGCAGAAACTGGTTCCTTTGGCGCCTCTGCTGCTTCCTCTGCTGCTGCCTCTGCTGCTGCCTCTGCTGCTGCCACTGCAGCTGCCACTGCAGTTGCCACTGCTGCTGCCACTGCAGTTGCCACTGCTGCTGCCACAGTTCCTGGTGCTTCTATGTGGCCTGGCGATTCAAGAGAGGGGCGAGGTGTGGCAGTGGTATCAGCGCCAGCACCCCTCTCTGGTAGCTGTGGGCCCCCCAAGCCCTGGTGGCAGGCAGTCTCTGTGGGGGGGGCTACAGTCACTGCCTCTGAAGGGGTTGCATCAGCAGACGCGGCAGGGGGAGCAGCGGCAGGGGGAGCAGCAGCAGGGGGAGCAGCAGCAGGGGGAGCAGCTGCAGGGGGAGCAGCAGCAGGGGGAGCAGCAGCAGGGGGAGCAGCAGCAGCGGGAGCAGCAGCAGCAGCAGCAGCAGCAGGGGGAGCAGCAGCAGGGGGAGCAGCAGCAGGGGGAGCAGCAGCAGGGGGAGCATCAGCAGGGGGAGCAGCAGCAGGGGGAGCAGCAGCAGGGGGAGCAGCAGCAGGGGGAGCAGCGGCAGGGGGAGCAAGCGAGATTGCGAGAGGAGTGAGGTTGGCAGCGGTTCTGGGTGGTGCCATCGAGTCATGCTTACGGGGAGGTTTCAGCGGGGGGGGAGGAGGCGCTTCAAGGGAAGGAAAGCAGGTATGGGAGTCTGAGGGGCGGCGAGGGGAAGAAAGAGACTACAGCCCCAGCCAGGGCAACCAGAAGGGCAGTGGCAAGGGGGAGGGTGGTGGTGAGGGGGACAAGGAGGGGAGGGAGGCAGAGGAGGAGGAGGAGGAGGAGGAGGATGAGGATGTGATTCTGGTTTGGGAAGGGAGCCGCTCCTCCCCTCCTCCGCCTTTCCCATCCTCCTCCCGTGCTGCTGCCGCCGCTGCCGCCGCTGCCGCCGCTGCCGCTGCTGCTGCTGCTGCTTCTGCTGCTTCTGCTGCTTCTGCTTCCCACCCTGCTTTTACTGCCGCTGCTACTGCTGCTACTCCGTCCATCCCTCGCCCTGCCTCAGCCGCTGCTACCTCTGGTGGCCGTCAAGACCCCAGGATCACTCCTTTCTTCCACACTCCCCACCTTCCATCCGCCCTCCCTCCTCCCCCACCTCCACCTCTCCCCCCACCGCCACTGTCCCAGCTCTCCCTCGCCCTCCCCCCAGGCCCTCCCCTCCCCCCAGCCCCTCCCCTCCCCCCGCGCCCCCTACCTTCCCCTCACCAGCCCCCACCCCAGGTAGATCCGTCCTCTGCTCCCACCCACACAGCCCACCCGCACGCAGCAAGGTTCAGAGCACAGGGTTCTTGGCGACCCTCCCTTCCTCTGCCCTGTAACTCGCCGCCCCCTTTTGGAACTACATCCCAAGACTTGCCGCCCGCATTCGGGCCTGCGCCTCGGGGTCTGCCGCCCTTTTCTGGACCCACGCCGCCCAATGCTTCGCCCCTGTTTGCTCCTGCCGCTCGGGATACGCCACCCTTTTCCGGACCTATGCCTAGGGTAGCAGCAGCAGCAGCTTCCGGACCTGCGTCACAGGTGGCGCCCCATTCCGAACCTACGGCTCGGGTAACGGTTCCTTCCGGACCAGTCTTGCAGGAATACCCCGGACGAGACCCCTTGGCTCGGAACTATTCACCGCTGCGGGGTCCTTTGGCTCGGGATGGGCCCCGCCAGCCCGAACCTGCGGCCTGGCAGCCGGACGAGATGGGTAGAGGGAGGAGGGGCGGTTTGGCAGACCTAAACGCTGCTGCTGCTGCGGATGTTGCAGAGACAGGAGACTGTGGGAGCAGCAGGTGTGAGAGAGCAAGGGGTGAGAGAGCAAGGGGTGGGGGGTTCAACAGAGGGGCATTGGGGCAGGCAAGTGAGTTGAGGCAGGGCAGAGGCGAGCAGGGGCAGAGGGGGCAGAGGGGGCAGGCTTTGCAAAGACTGCAGGGGCTAGAGATACCTCATAGGCAGCAGGGGTTTCTGGGAGTGGTATTGCCTGGCGCACTGGAGAACGGTGGTGGCAGGCAGCGAGAGGCAGCAGGTGGAGAGAGGAGGGAGTGGGCGGGGGACGGAGGCAGGGGTGGTGCTGCTGCAGGGAGGGAAGTGACTGTGCAGGAGGGAGGGGTGGATGGTGGGTGGCAGAGGGAACAAGTGGGTGTGAGGCAGAAAGAGAGAAGTGGGCCAGAGCAGCAGCAGCAGCAGCAGCAGCAGAGAATTCAGCATAAGCAGCAGCAGAATCAGCAGCGGCAACAGCAGAGTCAGCAGGGATTGCAGCAGCAGCAGCAGCAGCAGCAACAGATTCCAGCCCACAGCCCCACACGCAGCAACAACGAACCCCCACGCAGCAGCCACTGCAATCAACCAACGAAGCAGCTCCAGTCTCCCACCCACCTCCCTGCATCAACTCCTTTCCAATGCCACCAACCCCTCTCCCCAACCCCCCACTCCCTCACACACACTCCCAACCCCTCACTCCCTAGCCGCCCTCTCATCCCTCACCTCTCTCTCTTCTCTCACACCCCCCTCCTCCCACTCCTCACTCTCACCAGCGCCCACCACAGGGGGGGGCTCCCTGGCCTCACAAGCCCCTCACACCGCTCGCCCCTCGCCCCGCCTCTCACCCATCTCCACCCCTCTGCACCACCTGTCATCCCTCTCCCCTGAACACAGGCGCAGGTTCCTCCAGGGGCTCAGCCCTGAGAGCCTTGCTGCTGTCGCTGCTGCCATGGCTGCTGCTACAGCCGCCGCTACTGTTTCTGGGGGAGGGGGAGAGGGGGGGGCAGGTACTGGGGAAGGGGGAAGCGGAGGGGGAGGGGGAGGGGGAGGGGGAGGGGAAAAGGGAATTGAAGGGAGAGGTGCTGGGAGAGTTGGAGCAGGGGGAGTAGGGGGAGCAGGGGGAGCAGGGGGAGCAGGGGGAGCAGGGGGAGCAGGGGGAGCAGGGGGAGCAGGGGGAGCAGGGGGAGCAGGGGGAGCAGGGGGAGCAGGGGGAGCAGGGGGAGCAGGCATTGGAGCAACAATCAGGAATGGTGCTTCGCCCTCCTCCACCCGCCTCCCACTCCCCACTCCAACCTCCCCTCCCCAATCCCAATCCGCCATCAACTCTCTCTAATGCCAACCCCCCTTCCCAACGCCCCCATGCTGACTCGGGCCGAGGGTTTGCCTTGAGAGGATCACAGGCTCCTGTGGACGGTCCAGATGCGCCCGGCACCGGGTTTGGCAGATCCCAGCCGTTCAGGGGCCTGAGGGACGATCATATTCAGGCCGTCCACCGTACGTTCCTTCTCCACAACAAGAGCAGCAGCAGAAGCAACAGCAGCGACGTCAACAACAGCAGCAGCATCCGCAGCATCAGCAGCAGCAGCTTCAGCAGCTGCATCAGCAGCAGCAGCATCAGCAGCAGCATCAGCAGCAGCATCAGCAGCAGCAGCATCAGCAGCAGCAACAGCAGCAGCAGCAGCAACAGCAACAGCAGCAACAGCAGCAGCAGCAGCAGCAACAGCAGCAGCAGCAGCAGCAACCGCATCAACGGCAGCAGCAGCGCCATCCCTCCCACCTATCCCATCCCCCTCGTGCCTCCCTTCCAGCCTCTCTCCTACACCAATCTCGTTTCCCCCTCTTTCCCCAAACCCCCCCCAGGCAACTACCATCCCCTCCTAACCTCCCCTCTCCTCCAATCCTCTCCTCCCCTCCGAACCTCCCCTCTCCTCCGATCCTCCCCTCCCCTCCGAACCTCTCTCCCTCCCCAAACCTCCGCTCTCCACCAATCATTCCCACTCCAGCAAATCTTCCTTCTCCTAACCTCGCCCCTTTGCCAAACCTCCGTTCTCCGCCGAACCTGCCCGTTCCCAGCCAATCAGAGGCCACACATCAACCACGGCCTGCACAGGCTCGGATAAACCGATTCCCTTCCCCGAGCCACCCCCGAGCCTCAGAACACACGCACAGCCCGCCCCTCAGCCAAACCTCACCTCCGAACCTCCGCCGAGCCTCATCATATCAGCACCTAACGAATCGACCAGCGAGTTCAAGCCCTCTATCAACCCCTGCTGGGACTGGTGCTGTGTCTCCCTCACTCTCCCTCACACTCTCCTCCCCTTCCCCTCCTGCCTCCTCGCCTTCACCGTCCCTTGTCACCTGTGGGAACCCCAACCCTAGAGGACCTCCCGCCACCATTCAGGCTGCTGTTGCCTCCTATGCTGCTGCTGCCACCAATGCTGCTGCCGCTGCCACCGCCGCCGCTGCTGCTGCCAACACTGCCACTGCTGTTGGTGGTGGCAGTGGTAGTGGTGGTGGTGGAAACGCGGGGTCGGGAGGGAGAGGGGGAGCGGAGGAGGAGTGGGCGATGGGGCGATTGCAGGCGTTGTGTGGACAGAGGCGGTGGCGCTGTAGCTGGGCAGTGGGGCGAACACGAGCAGGGTGAGTGTGTGTAGCACGTGGGGTGGCAGATGCCTGAAGCACGTGGAGAGTAAGTGTATGTAGCATGTGGGGTGGTGAATGGCTGAAGCACAAGGAGGGTAAGTGTATGTAGCATGTGGGGGGATGCATGGGTGCGGGGTGGCGCTGTAGCTGGGCAGTGGGGCGCACACGAGCAAGGTGAGTGTTTGTAACAGATGGGGGGAGAGTCAGTGTGCCATGTGAGGTATGAGCGAGAGTGGCCCGTGAGGTGGCGGTTAGTGGCGTGGTGCTGTGGTTGAAAATATTTTTGAGTCGACTCAAAAATAGCTGTGGTTGAAAATAGCCTGTAGAGGGTGAGTTGAACTCATTTGTCTGTTGGTTTTTTTTTTGTCAACACTTTTCTTCGAATCCCCAATGCGCATCCAACTGTGCCATCCACATTCTGTCCTCGCTACAAGCAGGTTCCGTGCAACGTGTACAGTGACAACGCAGAGCGGCCAAGTGTTGGTGCAGAGAGGCGAGAGCCCTCTGACTGAGACGAGGGCGAGTGCGATAGCAGCCGTCAAGATGCTCCACACGCTCAACGACCTGCACCCTGCCGCCACCTGAGTTTTGAGACATGTTGTTTTAGCAGAGAGGCGAGCGCGAGAGCCTTCTGACTGAGACGAGGGCGAGTGCGCTGGCAGCTGTCAAGATGCTGCACACACTCAACAACCTGCACCCTGCCGCCACCTGACTTGTTTGGGAATCCCTTGGATGATTTCAGAGAGTCCAAATGAGTCTCGTGCAGAGAGGCGAGAGCCCTCAGAGTGAGTCGAGGGCGAGTGCGCTGGCAGCCATGACCTGCACCCTGCCGCCCCCTGACACTCTCCCTGCCTCGACACAGTGGTGGAAAGTGGTGCACAGAAGTGGAATGTGGTGCCCTCAAATATTCCTTTGCAGCAATGCTTATGTTACACTACTACAGTGCATATCTTCTCTTGTGGCTCAATGGACTAATGTGGGACTGCACATACGGTACTGTACACTTGGTGCAGTTACTCCTAGGAATTTAATCCTACCTTTTCAATCATACATCCCTCTACCCAGCCATATGGGCTTGGCAGGGTCCAAACTATTATAGCAGGTAGAAAACAGGTGGATGCTATTTTCCACCTGTTTTGAGTAATACCGTAGTGCACCCATCCCATACACTTGTTCCCCACACTCCACTTCTCAGTTACTTCCATGCCAGCGCAGCTGGTGCGACTGCTACCTGCCTCTGCTACCTACCCACCCACGCCCGGGCTACCATTGAAACATTGAAAAGCGGAAAGCATCTGTCATCAATGCACCTTCCCTCAGCCTACAACCGATCCCTCGCAACAATCTGGGAGAGCACCTGCTCAAGGTCCCGCAGGCGGATGGGCTTCGCTAGAAACCCGTCCATGCCTGCACTAGCACACTTGTCCCTCTCGTGCTTCATAGTGCTCGCAGTGACCGCATAGATGGTTGACCGCTGCACCACACTGTTTGCAGTCACTGCGTTGTTGTGTCCCTTTCTCCTCTCTTCCTCCTCTGATTCATTAGCGCGCTCCTGACGAGTCCTCTCATCCTCCTCTCGCTGCTCCTCTCGCTGCTCCTCTCGCTGCTCCTCTCGCTGCTCCTCTCTCTGCTCATCCTCCCGCTCTGCTGGTAAGCTACTACGAGTGTTGTGAGCGTCTGTTAGGCCATGATTTTCAGGGAGTTGGGTTGGCTGGGAGGGAACGGGCTGAGCTGCATTGGAGCCTGGCATGGGGGCAATGTGGGCGCTGGACTGAAGCTCCCGGATGCGCGTGGTGGCTTCGAATCCGTCCATCACTGGCATGTGGCAGTCCTGTAACGAGCAGAGGTGGAGATGGGATGCGATGGGATGGGATGGGATGGGACGGGATACGATGGGGAGGGATGGAATGGGAGCGTGTGAGAGCCCAGCGGATGCAAGTGGTGGCCTTGAATTCGTCCATGAATGGTATGTGGCAGTCCTGCAATGAGGACAGGTGGAGAGGGGGGTGGGAAAGGGTGGGGTGGGGTGGGATGGGATGGGATGGGATGGAATGGGATGGGATGGGATGGGATGGGATGGGATGGGATAAGCACCAATGATGTGATAGGTGGTGGATAAGATCTCAAGAGAAGCACCAATGAAGGGCATACCATGAAGATGCCGTGGTAGTTGGTGGATAAGAGATGAAGAGAAGCACGGAAGCAAACGAGGGAGCAAGTGGACGGACCATGAAGATGGCGTGGTAGTTGGTGGATAAGAGCGTAAAAGGAGGACAATTTAAGAGAGCACGGGCATACCATGAAGATGACGTGGTAGTTGGTGGAGCGGCAGGCCTCCACGGCCTTGTGCCCATTCTCTGCCACGTCACACGAGACTCGCAGGTTCCTCAGCAGCTGCACCACCACCATGCGGTTCACCGCGTTGTCATCCACCACCAGGCACCGCAGCCCCGCGAACGGCCCTCCCTCCCTGCCCCTGCTGCCACTGCCAGTAGCACCAGCACCAGCAGCGGCACCAGTGGCAGCAGCAGCACCACCACCCCTGCTCCCACTCCCACTGCCACTGCCGCTGCCGCCGCCCCTGCTGCTGCCGCCGCTACCAGCGGTCTTGCTGTTGCTGTGACTGGGAGGGTCATGCCCGTTCATTGACACCCCTGTTCGTTTGTGAGGGGAAGTGCACTTCCAGCGGTCTATCCCCTTGTTGCTTTGCCCCTCCACTGCTCCCATACTTGCACCCACCCCTTGCTCTTCTGATTCCTTCACACTTCCCTCCCCGCTTTCCTCCTCCTCTTCCTCATCTTCCTCTTCCTCTTCCACTTCCTCCTCCTCCATAGCCTCCTCCTCTTGGTTTACACAAGAGCCTCTCTTTCGCTTCCTCTGCCCTTCCGAGCCATCCTGCTCTTGCCTCCCTTCATCTGCCAAACCTCCTCTAGGCCCAGTGCCCCCTGAAAGAACATGATTCTGCTGACGCTGCTGGTGCTGCTGCTGGTTGTGTTGGTGCTGCTGCTGCTGCTGCTGCTGCAGGTAAACCCCTTCCCTCCCTGCAAGCATCTCCTCTCTCCTCTCAATCCCCTCTCCTCGCCTTTCAACCACAAAACCCGGCCCTCTCATTCCCCTCCTCTCAGCACCGCCACCCCTTGCGCCCTGCATCTCACTAGCTAAACTGCTCGCCACGTCTTGGTTACAAATCCCCAACCGCTCCAAACCACTCCGCACACCCTCCTCCCGCTGCAGCTGGAAATCCCTGTCTCGGCCGGGAGGAGCAGAGGAGGCCGGCGAGAAGGGCAGGTGGAGGGAGAAGGTGGAGCCGTGGCGGGGGGAGGAGGCGACGGAGATGCACCCCCCCATGAGCGCCGCGAGCGAGCGACAGATGGAGAGACCCAGGCCCGTGCCGCCGTGCTTGCGGCACGAGGAGTCGTCCACCTGCCAGAAGGGCGAGAAGAGGCGCGTCATCGCGTCTGCTGATAGGCCCATGCCTGTATCCTTCACGTCAACTCTCACCCACACCCGCGCCTGCCCCTTCACCCCCTCCTCTTCTCCACCGGATCTCCTGCTGTTCTTCTTGCCGCCAACGTCTCTCCTCGCTTCCATGTTGCTTTCTCCCGCCCGCTCACCCCGGCCCGCTTTCGTTCCTTCTATTGGTTTAGCAAAATTGACTAGGGTAGGGGTGTGGGGGTGGAAAGAGGGGACGGAGGCAGCAGCATCGGCTGCAGCATGAGCGTCAGCAGAGCCGGCAACAGCAGCAAGTGCCAGATCATCTGAGCACCTCATATCGTCCCCTCCATCTGCTGCAGCAGCTGCAGCTTCTGAAGTGAAATGCTCCAGTGCCGCTGCTGCCATGCCTGAGCTGCCTGCTACATCCATGCTCTGACCTGCTGTCACCGCATCGCCTGCTGGTGCACCTGCTACATCCATGCCCTCACTTGACCATAGGTTTGAACTCTGACCTGCTGTCATCGAATCGCCTGCTGGTGCACCTGCTACATCCATAGCCTCCCCTGCTCCTGCTACAGCCGGCACCCAAGCACCCGTCGCTGCCGTGCCTGCACCACCTGCTACAGCCGCTACAGCCGGTGCCACAGCCGGCGCCACAGCAGGTGAGTCCGATGCTCGGGAGGGGCAGGAGGAGAGCGAGGCGGCAGCAGCGAGGCCGGCCTGGGCGGCAGCAAGGGAAGCAGTGGCGGGAGTGAGCACCCAGGGCTCGTTCATGATGCGATCCAGATCCTCTCTAAGCCTCTGCTTTGCTAACTCCTCATCCATGGCCGCACCCTCTGCCTCCCCTGACCTCTGCTTTACCAACTGCTCGCCCAATGCGTCCTCCCCTCCCCCTCCGCTTCCCCTACAACCTTCTCCCCTTCCCCTGCAGTTGCTGCTACTGCCGCACCTGCTCTTGCTGTTGCTGCTGATGAAGTTTCCAAAAGGGAGCTGTAATGCATACTGTCATGCCTTAGCTGATCCTCCTCTCCCTCCTGCTCCCCAGCACACTCAGCGTCCTCCATCCCCTGCTCTACCTCTCCGCCTGCACGCCTCCCTGCCTCTCCTGCCACCCTCCCCTCATCCGCACCTGGCGAGGCCACAACGTGACAAACTTCCCCACCGGCTTCGGATTCAAAGGGGTTGCGGGAGAGGGCTATGGAGAGGAGGACTTGGCCGTGGTCGGTGAACTTGATGGCGTTGGAGAGCAGATTGAGCAGAATCTGCCTCACCCGCAGCTGATCCCCCTCCACCCACTCCGGCACGCCCCCGCCCACCCGGCTCTGCAACTGCGTTACGTAGTAGAGAAAAAAGTGCAAGAGAAGGCGGGTGGGGGAGGGAGACAGGGTAAGAGAATGTGCAGATGCAATGAGGAGTCAAAGAAAGCAATAAGAAACAAACAATTCATAGTATAAAAAACATATTGGAAGCATAAATCCCTATATTGCCCAAATTTCTCGTAAAATTTAATACTCACCTTAAGCTTCTTACTTTCGGCAGCGATCCTCACTGCCTCCACGGCCTCATTCACAGTGTGGTGGAGGTTGAACGGGGAGTGATCGAGAACAAGGGATTTCGTCTCGATCCTCGAGATGTCTAGCACGTCCGATATGATATGAATGAGCGTGTTTCCGGACGACGAGATGACGTCGACGTAGGAGCGCTGCTGCGGGGTGAGGGGTGTGCGGAGGAGCAGCTCGGCGACGCCGATGACGCCATTCATGGGGGTGCGCAGCTCATGGCTCATGTTCGCCAGGAACCGGTTCTTGGCTTCATTGCCCGCCTCTGCCGCCTCCTTGGCCGCCTTCAGCTCCTCCTCCTTGCGCTTCATCTCCGTTATGTCGTGCCACACCGATACGTAGTACGAGATCCCGTTCACCGACACCACCTGGGGGATATGGAGACGAAGACGGAAGAAAAGAGCAATTTGGAGGCGCCTTAAAAATCTCGGTAATGTCGTGCCACTCACTCACGTAGTACGAGATCCCCTTTCGCTGTCTCAAGAGTTGCTCGTGTAGTACAAGATTCCATTTACCGTCACTAGCTGGAGGAGGATATGAGACGAAACAACGGAGAATAATGAATCCGGAAAAGCTGATCAGGAGTGCAAGGGAGCAAGAGAGAGCAAGAGAGCAAGAGAGAGCAAGAGAGAGCAAGAGAGAGCAAGAGAGAGCAAGAGAGAGCAAGAGAGAGCAAGAGAGAGCAAGAGAGAGCAAGAGAGAGCAAGAGAGAGCGAGAGAGAGCGAGACTCGGAAACTCGAAACCCCGAACATGAAACCTTAAGCGACACCCAGCACTTTCAGTTCCCATTCGAGCCAGACACAATAAATATATCGGTGCACCACATCTGTTTCCCTCTCACCATGCCACTTCTTCCTCTCACCTTGCCCTTGACTAGAACCGTGCAGGGGGTGCCATCCAAAGAGAACATGTCCCACTCAAACGGTGGCAGGCCGCCCTCTTTCAAAATCTCGTCCAGAATCTCCAGGAAATAGTCCAAACTGCGCCGCCCGTTCGGCTGGAACTCGGGGGACTGCTTGACGATGCTGAGGTTGGCGAGTGCGGCCGCTTTGGAAGGGTAACCAATGATTTTCACCGTGGCGTCGTTGCAGTCGCGGAGGGTCCAGTCAGGGATTGTGAAGACTTGGATGGGGTCCTGTAGGGGGTTGCGCGGGTGGGTGTGGAAGAAAAAGAGAGGGATGGAGGGAATAGAATAGGGAGTGAGGCTTGGACAGGAGGCGAAACAAAACAGACGCTTTGCACCGTGGGGCGTCGTTGGAGTCACAGAGAGTGAAGCCAAGCGTTGTGAACAGTTGAATGGGGTCCTATGGTGAGGGGACGAGAGGAGGGGCGGGAGGAGAAGGGAGGAGTAAAGGCGGGGAGGGGAGCGGGATCTCGCTGAAGCAAAGTAGAAGGTAGGGGGTGAAGAGCTGAGTATGAACGGTTTGTTTGACTCACAATGGAGAGGTCAAAGATGGCTCGGAACTTGGCATTCTCGTGGCCCAGGAGCAACGCCTCCTTCACTTGCTCTATCAACCACTCCGCCTCCTTCCACAGGCACACCCGCCCCTCTGCCCCACCGCCATCATCACCACCACCACCACCACCAGCACCACCACCACCAGCACCATCAGCACCAGCACCATTGGCAGCAGCAGCACCACTTGCCACAGCGGCAGCATGAACAGAAGAACCATGAGCATGCCCGGCCGCGCCATTAGTGGGGTGAACACCAGAAGGAGCGGCACCGGAGGGAGCAGCACCAGGAGGGTCAGTGTCAACGGCAGCAGTGTCGGTGGCAGCAGAGTCAGCGCCAGCAGCATCAGCGGTAGCAGCATCAGCGGTAGCAGCATCAGCGATAGCAATTTGAGGGGCACCGGGGGGCAGTTGAGGAGGTATGGAGCGCGATGGTGTGGCGAGCTGCGCACACTCCCTCAGCTGCTGCAGCATCAGCACCTGTTTCAAAGAAACAGAGGAGAGGAGAGAGCGAGGCGGAACGGAATGAGGGCGAGGGAGGGGTTTTGGAGGGAGGCGCGAGGGAGGGAGCGAGGGAGGGAGCGAGGGAGGGAGCGAGGGAGGGAGCGAGGGAGGGAGCGAGGGAGGGAGCGAGGGAGGGAGCGAGGGAGGGAGGAAGAGAGGGGCGACAGCATTGAGAGGACCTTTAGCTCAAAATATTTGCTGTCGCTCCCCCTTTTCCTTTCCCCCCTTTTCCTTTGCTCCTTGCCGTTACTGCATCGCAAGGGATGCCGTTACTGCATCGCAAGGGATGCCGTTACTGCATCGCAAGGGATGCTGTTACTGCATCGCAAGGGATGCTGTTACTGCATCGCCAGGGACACCCTCTGCTCCGAGGCATTTTTTTAGTGGAGTAAAGAATGCACTATGTGTTCGCTTTTGAGTCGACTCAAAAGCAGCCGTGGATTGGTTTTAGCGGAGTAAAGAATGCACTATTCTTCAAATTCTTAGGCGCCTATTTTGAGGCGCCTAGAAAAAAAAAACAGCCGTGGATTGGTTTTAGCGGAGTAAAAATGCACTATTAGTTCACCCCCTTTTTCACAGTATCAATTCTTGCAACCGCTCACCTGACGCAGCCTCTGCTCCGTGGCATCCAGGAAGGTGCAGAGAACCATCCTTTGATCACTTGACTCATCCTTGACACTCGTGGAGCTTGTAGCGCGTGCAGCAAGCGACGCTGACACCTCAAACCACCGCCACTCATTACTGCTGCTGCTGCTGCTGCTGCTGCTGCTGCTGCTGCTGCTGCTGCTGCTGCTGCTTCCGCTGCCATCCCGATTCGCCACCCCTCCCTTTCCCCCTCCCGCGCCCCGCCTCTTCTCCTCTCCCAACTCTGCGCCCCTCTTCCCTTCCCCCCATGCCTCCCCCTCGCCCCCCTCGCCCCCCTCGCCGCCTTTCCCCTCCTCGCCCTGCGCTCGCACTGCCAACCGCACCCACACCTGCCGCTTCCGCCTGCTGCTGTCCGCTGCGCACTCCCCCACAGTTGCCTGCGGATCGGTAGGCGTAGGCGACGGGGAAGAAGGGGCTAAGTTCACTAAAAGGGGTGCGACAAAGGAAGCGCGGCAGGAGTATTTTGGGATCGCGGACGGAGAGAGAGGCGGGAGAGGTGCGCAGCCGCTCATGGATCAGCGGGGAATGCGAGAGGAGTGGTGATGGGAGAGCATGATGATTGGAGAGCATGATGAATGCGTGTGATGGGAGAGCATGATGAATGTGTGTGATGGGAGAGCATGATGAATGTGATGGGAGAGAAGGATGGTGATGGGAGAGAAGGACGGTGATGGGAGAGAAGGATGGTGATGGGAGAAGAGGGACAAAGGGGAACTTCAAGCCTATTGTAAGTATCATACACATCCTTAAAACTCATTCTTGACGCCAGACGCACACCGTAGCCTGCTTGTTTTTTTGGATCAGTAATTAATAAAGATAAAATGAAATAACAAAAAAACAAACAAAATAAAATAAATAAAATAAAATAAAATCAGACATACCATCAGTTTCACTTATTGAAGCTCAGGTCTTGGATAACAGCTGTACCAGCTTTACTTGCTTGTCTCACCTCCAGGGAGGCTCTATCGGAAGGATGAACTAGCGACTGCACGCGCTTTGAGTCGACTCAAAACAAGGTAAAGTGTACCACCTTTACTTGCTCGTCTCACGGTCTCACCTCCAGGGCGGCTCTATCGGAAGGGTGAACTAGCGACTGCACGCGCTTTCCGGAAAGGTCGCATTGCGGCAGGCCGAGCGTATCGGCGAGAGCAGCGCTGTTGCACGCAGCGAAAGGGGAAAGGGGTGAAACGTTGGCGTTGAAAATTCAGGGCATTTGTTCTCACTGTCGAAACATTTCCATCAAATGCCCGGAAAGTCCCTGAGAATGCTAATAACGAAACTTTTTCCGGGCAAGAACCTGTATGCCGGCCGACTCCGGTACACGCGACCGCCTGACCCAACACTGAAAATGACTCATCTACTAAAGATGGAGGGTGGGAACCGGCTCTAATTACTACTAGTGCTACATTGTCAATCAGGTTGCTGATTCGCCTTCAAGCCGTCACGATCCATCATGCGATGATCCAATCCGACCCTCAGGTGCGATCGAAACGCACGAGGACGCTGAACGCCGGGTTTAGGTTGCCCAGGTTTCGACCAATTTTAGGAGGGTGTGACAGGTTGTCATTCAAGTTGCAATTCACAAATCCGTTACCTCCCCGCGCTCCCCTCAATCCACGCATGTTCAGCAGCTTTACCTGCATTGCGCTAACCGCTGTTCTCTCGCGTCCCCGGCGCTCACGGCCACCAGCACAGCGGGAACGGCCTGGAGAAGCGAACTCTTAAGAATATCCAAGATATTTTCGGCCATGCCAGGTATGATTTTGCCAGATCTTGTGCAAGGCACCTGTGGTGCCGCTCACTACAGACTGTTAGCATAAAAAGGTAAGTAATATAAATTGTTTCATTTTCCCTATGACGACTTAGTGTAAGAACTGGAAAAAACTAGCTGCTGATCTGGAAGGTGACTAGAGAAAAATGTTGTGGCTCCTTTCGCTCACAGCCTATAACTTATTACAGCTGGAGATGGAAGTATGGCAAGGGTTTGAACAGCGAATTCAGCAGCCTTGAGCGAAAGAGCTGTCCTGTATTTCTGCTGGTTACAGGGTCGTATGAAAATCGCAGAGTTGGCTGTTGAGGGTCGTAACGGGGCCACCGGCAGATGGGCTGCCCCCAGTGGTGGCAGCATCTGGGAGGAAAGCTACAGTGGTAGCGTCTGGGCACAGCGACAGAATCTGGATTCGGCCGCCTGAACTTGTCACATCTGAAGCACGCCGAAATCTGTGCGCTGATCCGCGGCTATCGGGTTTCCATTCTAACCACGTGGCACACAAGTTGAGACTGGTTTCGGCAGCACGACAGAATTCCTCGGGTCGGATGAAGCGTACGTAGACTGTACATGCATTTTCTACACAATAATGAAATATGCAGATTATTCGGGTAGTACATATAAGCTGATTGTTTCGGTCACCATAAACATCTTTACCGAAAGGTTCATGACTTCCCGGGTAGATTTGACGGGATAAAATCATTCGTTCTGGAAACATCCAGAAACTAGAAATCGCGGCCAATCCGAATGTTGTCAGGACTTATGTGCTGAACATACTGTATACGGCTGGTCTGCGCACGGGCGTGGGCCTGAATCAAGACACGTCAGTCGCATCTTCTTTCGGCATGGTTGCTTGCCTGGGCTGCCTTGGTGCTGCTGATCCCCCGTATCGTCTGCAGCAATGTAGGTGGCAGATGTTGCGCATCGTATCGCATCAGGATTCAGGGTGTTTCGAAATTGGGGGACACTTTGTGGCGTGGCTTTTCTTTGATTATCCAAATTTGTAAGGGTTTGGACGCTAGCTGGTACAGATCAGTTATCCATCTAGCCCTGCCACTCATGGCCATGCTTAAGCTCTTCCCCTTACACAGAGTCTTGACTTATGGAAACTTGTTCTCTCCGTCCAGCCACCTTCATGTAGTGATATCAATACCAATGCAAAGGGCCTTACCCAAGGTCCTGTTGTACTTTGTTCACTAACTGAAGCAATATTGATTGTATGTCCCTCAACCTAATTGGTTTGGCAATAAACCCATCCATCCCCACGCTTGCGCATCGGTCCCTTTCATGCTTAAGCACGCTAGCTGTGACAGCATAGATGGCGGACCTTTGAACAACCCTGTCGTGTGGGCTTTCCTCTCCCCTCCGAGCATCCAATGCCGATTGTGTGTCTGGCAGGGTCGAAGTTCTCGCGGTTTCCATCCCGCCTTTGGATTGTAGCTTTCGAATGCGCGTGGTGGCTTCAAACCCATCCATGACAGGCATGTGACAATCCTGCAAGAGAGAAACAAAAGGAGTGTGATGTGAACAAACTGGCCCACATGTTTGAGGGCATCGGGAGAAGCATCAAATCAGAGACCATAAACGGACCATGAAGATGATGTGGTAGTTGGTGTATTCATAAGAGAGAATACAGACATACTATGAAAATGTCATGGTATTTGGTGGATAAGAGCGTAAAAGGAGGACAATTTAAGAGAGCATGGGCATACCATGAAGATGACGTGGTAGTTGGTGGAGCGGCAGGCCTCCACGGCCTTGTGCCCATTCTCTGCCACGTCACACGAGACTCGCAGGTTCCTCAGCAGCTGCACCACCACCATGCGGTTCACCGCGTTGTCATCCACCACCAGGCACCGCAGCCCCTCAAACACCCCGCCACAAGACGGGGACTTGGGAAATGCGCCACCCTTAAAGGGTGACTTAGGAATACGCCGATTATTAGAGGGGGATTTGGGAAATACGCCACCCATAGAGGGGGACTTGGAAAATGCGCCACCATTAGAGCACGACTTGGGAAATGTTCCATTAGACGGGGACTTGAGGTCTGCACCTGCTACAACCTCTTCAAGAGGCATCCTTGTCTCACCATGTCTCTCCCTCCATAACCTGCTTTCTCGCATCTGCTTACCACCTTGACCCTCCGGACCTTCCTCTGTTGAACGGGCAGCGCCTTCTATTTTCACTCCCTTGCAACCTTGACCTGTCTCAATCACCTCTAGGCCTTGACCTGCCTCAGATGCCGCTGCCACTCCTTCAGACGCCTCAGACACATCTTTGACACTCCGTCTCCCATTCATACTTCCACCAACCGGTTTCACACCACATCCCTTTTCCTCTGACCCATGCTGCTGCTGCTGCTGCTGCTGCTGCTGCTGCTGCTGCTGCTGCTGCTGCTGCTGCTGCTGCTGCTGCTGCTGCTGCTGCTGCTGCTGCTGCTGCTGCTGCTGCTGCTGCTGCTGCTGCTGCTGCTGCTGCTGCTGCTGCTGCTGCTGCTGCTGCTGCTGCTGCTGCTGCTGCTGCTGCTGCTGCTGCTGCTGCTGCTGCTGCTGCTGCTGCTGCTGCTGCTGCTGCTGCTGCTGCTGCTGCTGCTGCTGCTGCTGCTGCTGCTGCTGCTGCTGCTGCTGCTGCTGCTGCTGCTGCTGCTGCTGCTGCTGCTGCTGCTGCTGCTGCTGCTGCTGCTGCTGCTGCTGCTGCTGCTGCTGCTGCTGCTGCTGCTGCTGCTGCTGCTGCTGCTGCTGCTGCTGCTGCTGCTGCTGCTGCTGCTGCTGCTGCTGCTGCTGCTGCTGCTGCTGCTGCTGCTGCTGCTGCTGCTGCTGCTGCTGCTGCTGCTGCTGCTGCTGCTGCTGCTGCTGCTGCTGCTGCTGCTGCTGCTGCTGCTGCTGCTGCTGCTGCTGCTGCTGCTGCTGCTGCTGCTGCTGCTGCTGCTGCTGCTGCTGCTGCTGCTGCTGCTGCTGCTGCTGCTGCTGCTGCTGCTGCTGCTGCTGCTGCTGCTGCTGCTGCTGCTGCTGCTGCTGCTCCTGCAGCAGCAACAGCTCACCAGCATGGCTGGGCTGCAGCTCCTGGTTTTTCCCATCGTACCCCTGCAGTGCTGGCGCCACTGGCAGCACAGGGAAAACCCCACAGTCGGCCATATTTTCCATCGGAAAGGATCGGGTCCTCTTGTGCCCCTGGCGCCTTCCACTCCCCTTGTGCTCCAGCGTCCCCTCCTGCTGACCACTCCTACCAGCAGCGCCTGCAGAAGTCACAGCCACAGCAGCTGGAGCGGCAACAAGGGTAGCCGTAGCGGCAGGAGCAGCAGAAGCAGCAGAAGCAGCAGCAGCAGCAGGAGCAGTGGCACCACCACCAGCAGTTCCTATACGCTCACCACCACAAACACTCTTGTCTGGGCAGGAGGCGGACGAGAAGGGCAGGTGGAGGGAGAAGGTGGAGCCGTGGCGGGGGGAGGAGGCGACGGAGATGCATCCCCCCATGAGCGCCGCGAGCGAGCGACAGATGGAGAGACCCAGGCCCGTGCCGCCGTGCTTGCGGCACGACGAGTCGTCCACCTGCCGGAACGGCGTGAACAGCCTTGTGAGTGCATCAGTTGAGATTCCCTCTCCTGTGTCCTTGATGTCTATCCTCACCCACACCACTGCCCTCCGCTCCTCCCCATCCTCATTCCCATTCTCATCCCCACCCCCACCCGCACCCCCATTGCCGTCCCCATGCATATCCCCATCCTGCTGCTCTTGCTCATGGGCGTTCCCCCCTCCATTGCGATCCCCTTCAGCATCCCCCACCTCCCTACTCCTCCCAGGAAAATTGCTGCTTCCTTCTAGTCCCTCCTTTGCTACTGCCCCTGCCCCTGCTGCCCCTGCTGCCCCTGCCTCTCCCCGTGCATCATCTGCCACTTCCCTTGCCTGACCCTTGCCCTCCCCGCCTCTACCCACATCCCCTCGGTCCTCCTCGCTTCTGTCACCTTCCTGCCCCCATGCATCCAAGGAAAGGGAGTGTGGGAAAGCAGAGGCGACTGGGTGCGGAGAAGCGGTTGAGAACACTGCGTCGTCAGCTGCTGCATCTGCTGCTGCAGCGTCTGACGCTGACATTGCCCTTTGAAGGGAACGCGCAGGGGCGAGTGGGTGCAGAGAGGTGACAGAGAAAACAGCATTGTCTGCTGCAGCATCTGCTGCTGCTGATGCAGCCACAGCCATGAACTCAGGATCCACACGCTCGCCACTCCCACTACGCTCGCCACTCCCACTACGCTCGCCACTCCCACTACGCTCGCCACTCCCACTACGCTCGCCACTCCCACTACGCTCGCCACTCCCACTACGCTCGCCACTCCCACTACGCTCACTGCCGCTAATCCCCTCGTTGGGTGCTCTCCCACGCCGACCTCGCTCTTCACTGTGAGCATCGTATCCAGTCCCCGGCTCTGCTGCTGCTGCTGTTCCTACCACCGTTTCCTCTGCTGCATCTGCTTCTGTCACTGCTTCTGCTGCAACTTCACCCTCTGCTTCTGCTCCAACCCCTGCCTCTGCTCCTGCTCCAGCCTCTACCTGCACTGTCTCGCCATGCCGCTGCTTCTTTCCTGCTGGTTTTCTAAACATAAAGGCACGTTCTGCTTCCTTCTCTGCATCGCCGCGCCGCCGCTTCCTCCCTGCAGACACAACTCCACCCTGCTCATCCTCAGGCCGAAGGGGCGGGTCAAGGGTAACCGTGGTTTCATGGGCGAAGGGGTTGGGGGAGAGGGCGAGACAAGGGGCGCCCTGCTGCTTCTCGGGCCTAGTGGGCGGGTTGAGAGGGTCAGCAGGTTGATGGTCGAAGGGGTTGGGGGCTGGGGCGGCGGAGAGGAGGACTTGGCCGTGATCGGTGAACTTGATGGCGTTGGAGAGCAGGTTGAGCAGAATCTGCCTCACCCGCAGCTGATCGCCCTCCACCCACTCCGGCACGCCCCCCCCCACCCGGCTCTGCAACTGTGGAAAGAGAGACAAGGGGGGGAAGGGCGGAAAAGGGTGGGGCGTGTGGATTAGAGCAGGCAGGAGAGGAGGTGCAGTGAGACACAAAAAGGGGGAGATGGGAAACAAGAAACAGGGAACAGGGCTGAAACGTATTCAGACTGCTAAGGAATTCAGAACCAAGTGGGCACGACGACCAGTTAACGATACTTTCACAACCAAGTCAAAACTGAGCCGAAACAAGTTTCGACTCTTACTGCGAGCTTCTTGTTCCCTGCAGCCGGCCTAACGGCCTCCACACACTCAGCCAACGTCTCCCGGAGGTTAAAAGGGCAGCAATCCAGCAGCAGCGAGTTGGTCTCAATCTTGGTGATATCCAGAACGTCTGATATGATATGAATGAGGGAGTTCCCCGAGGAGGAGATGACGTCGACGTAGGAGCGCTGCTGCGGGGTGAGGGGGGTGCGGAGGAGCAGCTCGGCGACGCCGATGACGCCATTCATGGGGGTGCGCAGCTCATGGCTCATGTTCGCCAGGAACCGGTTCTTCGCCTCGTTGCCCGCCTCTGCCGCCTCCTTGGCCGCCTTGAGCTCCTCCTCCTTGCGCTTCATCTCGGTTATGTCATGCCACACTGATACGTAGTATGAGATTCCGTTCACCGTCACCACCTGGAATTCATGGAGACGAAACAGCGGCAAAGGGGGCTTAATCCTTGCGCTTCATCTCCGTTATGTCGTGCCACACCGATACGTAGTATGAGATCCCATTCACCGTCACCACCTGGGCGATATGGTGGAGACGAAGACGAAACAAAAGCGTTCATCTCCGTTATGTCGTGCCACACTGACATGTACAGGCGCTCGCCGTTGATCATTACCATCTGTATTGAGGAAAGGGCGTAATGGGAAGCAGAATTGGTTACATGTCGTACCACACCGACATGTACAGGCGCTCGCTGTTGATCATCACCATCTGTAGAGGGGAAGGGTCGTAGGGGCGTGTAAGGGGAAGCTGGTTTGTGGCGTCTCAAATGTCGGTGCTTTCATCTCGGTTATGTCGTGCCACACCGACATGTACAAGCGCTCGCCGTTGATCATCACCATCTGCGGAAAGAAGAGATGTAGGGATGTAGCGGTCAGAGATGTAGCGGTCAGAGAGGTAAGGATATCGGGATATAGCAAAGAGATGGCACTTTTCTCACCTTGACCTTCACGAGGACATGAAACTCTGAACCGTCCAACCGAGTGTGCACCCACTCAAACGGCGCACACTCCCCTCTCTCCATCAGCTCCTCCAGAATTTCCTTGAATAGCTCCAAGCTTGGCCGCCCGCACGGCTGTACCACAGGGGAGTGTTCGAGGAGGTAGCCCTTGCGCAGGTTCGCCAGGGCGGCAGAGGTAGAGGGGAATCCGAGGATGCGGGCGGCAGCGGGATTGAGGTCATGCGGAATCTGTTTGATTGAGTTGATCAGAATTGGGTCCTGTGGGGTGGGGAGGTGGGAGGAGAGGAGGGGAAAGAGTTGAGGAGAGATGCGAAAATAGTGATGAAGAAAACGGGTTGAGGGACAGTGTGGCGCTGGGAGGGGAACGAGTGGAGAGTGAAGGCGGTTCTTGTCGATTATCGTGCGGTCTCACCATGGACATTTCAAACGTCACCCTCTCACCATGGACATTTCAAAGATGGCTTGGAACTTGGCGCTTTCATGGCTCCACTGTAGCGACTGCTTCACTCCCTTGAGCAGACCCACCATCTGCTGCATCGTGTCCGTGCTCCCATCTCTGCTCTCCACACCACCGCCTCCTCTGCACCCCCCACTCGCACCATCAACACCACTTGTCTCTCCATCCCCTGTTGCCTGCTCTCCCCTCCCCACACCCTTTTCACACTGCGCTGCCTCCCTTGCACCGCCACTGCTGGTGTCAGCGCTAAGGGTGCCAACGCCACTCTTGCTGCTCCTGCCGCTGCTGCCCGCCTGCTGCTGTTCCTCCCCTTCGATTGATTCAGGGCGGGTGACGACTCTAGCGGGGATGACTCTAGCAGGGGTGACTCTGACGGGATTGACTCTAGAGGATGGTGACTCATGCTGTGAGCTATGGTGCCGCACGTCCTTGTTAGCAGCCATGTCCTGGTGTGCGGCCAGAACAGGCTCCACAGAATCCCTCAATCGCTGCAGCATGCGATCCTGGCATGGGGAAAGAGAGCAGAGCGAGGAGCAGAAGCAAGAAACGATCTGTAAGGCGGGGCTACAAAATGGAAAAGGCGGAGAGAGACAGCGGAAAGACAGTGGGGGGCGTGAGAAGCCTTGGCCGAACGACTTTTGAGTCGACTCGAAATGAGAAGCCTCGACCAAACGAAGGCCTTCACCATCCATCATCTCTCCATGCCTTCCTCCCTCTCACCTCTTGCTTCCTCCGCTCCGAAATGTCCAGGAAAGTGCAGAAAACCATCCTTTGCTCGCAGCCTCCGCCACTCGGTTCCTTCCAGGCAGTTTCTTTGGGAGGCAGTTGGTGCGAAGATGTACACGTGGCAACGCTCTCACGAGGACACGTGGCAAGAGAAACGGACATTTCAAGCCATCTCCACTCAGTGCTGCATATGCTGTAGGTGCCTTCCTCTTCTTTCCCCTTTCCCCTCCTCCCTCCCTCCTCTCCCTCTCCCTCCTCTCTCCCCTTTCCCCTCCCATCTCTCTCCTCTCCCTTTCCCTCTCCCTGCGTCCCTCCCCTCGTTTCTGCCCTCTCATCCCTATTCTGCTCTCGCCTGTGATCTGCCCCTACTAGGGCTGTCACCCTCACCCCAACGCGCCTCTTGGTCCTGCCGCCATCCGAGGCAGCATATCCAGCCAGCACATCCTGTGCCGGGGAAGGGGTGAGACAAGGCGTTGGATGTTCCGAGGAACAGGATTTGAGAACAATGAATATCGAGAGCAATTGAGATGCGGCGAATTGTGCTGAACACCAAGGGGCAACGGCAACCGAAGCAACTTTAGGGTTATTAACAGATTAGGGCGTGGAGAAGCAGAAACAACCTCCTCCAAGTGTGTAAGAAGGCCCGCTAATGATTCCCGAAGAGCGCAAGTTGAGACCTACGAGAGATGGTGCTTGCCTGAGCAGAAGCTCGGTCTGCTGGGTGAACCAAGGAGAGGAAGCTCTTTCCGACGATGTGCGAGTGTCCGCACTGCGCGCCGAGCAGATCCAACAGTGCAGAGCTGCTTGGAACGAGGAAACAGGTGACGGAGCAAGACGAAGCGACGATCATGGAGATGATAAGCCACGGAACCTTAACAGTGAAAGGATTGCTCAGTATGGTTGAGACTCCAAGGTGCCTATGTGGTCTAAATAAATTAGTAGTGATCTGGTACTGATGGTGGCAGATTGGGAGTAAGTCTTTCTAAATAGATCAGCCTCCATCGTCAATCTGTAAGCTTTTTTTTTTTTTTTTTTTTAATTACCATTTATTGTTTATCCTGATTAGAAGAGACTCGCAGCGAAGCACACGCGCTCACTTCGCACTTTTTAGCTTGTCTAATCCACCCTTCTCGCCTACCTGCATTGCACTATTCGGTTCTCCCTCGCGTCGCTGCTGATGGCGAGCAGAGCAGCGGGAACCGCTTGGAACAGAGAGTCCTGTAGAAGTGATGAAATTGTCGACATAATTTCTAGTAGATGCAGTCACAAGCCTCGGTTCTAGAGTATACGACTTGCATAGGAATTATAACCTAGAGCCGTCGTATACACCAAATTTCAATAGTTCATCCTGACGATATTGTTGAATAAAAACAGTTTTCCTGTGTGTCCAGACCAAGAAGTTCGGATCGCCAGAACGGCTGTTACAAATTAAATATTCGCAAGCAGCACTTTACTGGAAGCTCGTACACTAAAACATTAAAATGCATCAGGTTCCTGCCTTCTGTCAATCCGGAGGGAAAAAGACACGCGGTCATATCGTGAGAGCTCAGCTTGCAATTCCTAGGATGTAAGAATTACCTCAACAAGAGCTCAATGGAAGGGTTTGTTGGTCAGGACAGGAGCAAGCAACCCTCTCTGACAGCAGAAGCAGCTCATCCAACACAAGCAGGATGGACGTAGAAACGAACAGCCTACATTCCGCAAGGATTTGCTAATGACAGCAGCACGACTTCCCTGATTCCGTTCTCCTACGTGTACATCGGCGATCCGAGAAAAATTCGCAGCAGCCCTCCAAAACAGCAGATGGGTCCAACGAATCCAATGCAGTTCAACAGCAGTCTACGAGAGGGGGATTCCAATTGAAATCGACAGGGGACTCGATGCCGCAGGGATCGGATGCGGAGTGGCGGCAGAGCGAATGGGGTGGACGGATGGGATGCGCATGCGAGATGTCTGATACTGCACTGTACAAGTACATGAAATGCGATGGGATGGCACGAAATGGGACGAAATCGAGGGTAGGATGAAATGAAATGCGATGGGATCTTGGGATCAAAGGGATGCGATGGCTTCTGGGACAGGAGAAAGGATTGGGGTAGGGTGGAGAGGGATGAAAATGCAGCTGGCTGGTTGGACAAAAGACGGCGAGTCGGTGGTTTCTTCAATGTGCGGCTGGATGCTTTATTGCGATTCGCGCGTGCACTGCTGCTTTTTATGAGATCTTTGTTTCACGTGGACCCAGTCAGTGCTGGCAAAACCAGTGGCGGCATATCTGATCTGATGCGATGGGATGCCGTAGATTCGATTAAAACTGATGCCACTTGCTGGTGGCTCAAAAAATTTTGGGCGGTTCACCCTGACCGTTCCAGGTCAGTCCCACACTTCCTCAAGCTGGCACCGTCGTTGTGACCCCCGCATCCTCTTGAAAAGGGGTAAACTCGATTACAAGACCCACTGAAGTTGGGTTGTTTTCTCAAGAGCACCGGTCTGTTTTTCACGGTGAAACCATTCCCTCATGGTTCGGCCACAAATCCATGACTTCACCACAACACAACCTGGTCCGACACCAAGGCACTGTACTAAATTTGTATGCAACTCTATGCCAAGACCTTGTACTAGAATTATTACCATTCACTACACCTTGTCATTTCAAATTGAGCATTCCCAGGATAAAAATAGCACCACCAAGGAAACTAGCACTCTGAAAAGAGCGTGGATCATCTTACTATATGCTAAAATAGGACAAGCAACAAGAGTGCTACGTCTCAGGGTTGTCAGTAAAATGTTGGGGATGCGGTGGAGAGATGTTGATGCTTCAAGGATGACTTGGCTGCCAATTCTGCACCAAGCATCTGCAATGAAGCAACACGGAACCAGCAAAACAAAGAAAAAGTCTCAGTGAATCTCAGGTTTAGAAAGCAAGCAATACTAGAGGTAGAGACAACAGTACGAAGGACCAGAAAGGCACTCACTCTGTACTTAGGTGCTGATTCCGCTCCCTTAGTCAAAAACCTTCCACTGCCATGCCCACTGTCCTCCCACTCATCCCCACCCAGCACAAAACCCTTCTCTCCTCCCCCTACCCCCATCATCCCCATCCCAAGCACCTCCGCTCCCCCATCCCTCCCTGAAAAGCTACTGGCACAGTCCGAGAAACTGCCGCTGCTGCTCAGCCCTTCGTGTGTGCCGTCCCCATCCCCATCCCCATCCACATCCCCATCGCCCCACTCGTCACTCTCACTAAACCCAGCCACTTCTGTCGTCGCATCCGTTACGCTCCACATCTCCGTTCCCTCAGTAACCGCATCCGCATCCTCGCGATCTGAACCGTCCATCGACCCCCCGCCAGCCACTCCTCCTCGCTCGCCCATCCTCCTCCCCCTCCCCCCTCTCCGGCTGCCTCTCCTCAACCCGCCCTCACTCCGGCACCTCTCCTTCTCCTCGTTAAAATCCCGCCCGTTATAGTCACTGTCTCCTTCAGGCTCGTCACTGCACTGGCTCGACCCAATAATATCGCCCCAGACACTCAACCCCCCGTCGACACAGGCAACAAGGGAGAGCAACGAGTCGGAATGGTGGAGAGCGGAGGCTGCAGAGGGCGGGTGCGAGTAGGTGGAGAGCAGCAACGCGTGGATGTTGCTCATCGGATGCACATTATTCATGGAGCCACTGCTGCTCGTGCAACTCCTGCTGCTGTTGCTGTTGCTGTTGCTGCTGCTGCTGCTGTTGTTCCTAGGGCGTGTTTCACAGGCAAGGATCGATCAGGAGATGCAACCCCCGCTAGAGCCTGATCCACCACTGACAGAGCCGCACACACCTCCTCTGCCACCTCCACCACCACTTGCTCCCCCCACTCCCCCACCTCCCCTCCCTCCCCACACCCCTCTTTCTCCACCATTCCAAACGCCTCCCGACCTCCTGCTACCCCTCCTCCCGCTCCCGCGTTCCCCCAGCAGCCCCGCTGCTTCCTCCCGCTGCTGCCAGCACTGGAAGGGGAAGCACCACTGGGAGAGGAGCCTCGAGGGGGGGTGGAGGGGCGGCGAGGGCTGCGAGGCACGTCACTCAGCCTCCCCCGACTGTTAGAACCACCCGACTGCACCCTCCCGAGCGCCCCTTCCACCCCACCCACTCCAACCCCTCCGAACCCATCTGCACCTGCCCCAACGTCTCCAGCACCGCTCCCAACACACGCACCACCAGAAACACCGCCAGGGCCGGTGTTGGGTTGGGAGCGGCGGCGGGAGGAGGGTTTGCGAGTGGAGCATTCGCCACAGGTGGCACAGAGCAGCTGGTCCGGGAAGAGAGGAGGGAAGCCGCAGGCAGAGCAGGCGTTGGGCTGCCAGCGCTGCACTCCCGGGAGCGTAGGGCCTCCAAACACCTGCAATACCGGGCACAGCAGTGGCAGGGGCCACAGGGGTGGGAGCAGAAGGATAGGGGGAAAGGTGAGTGGGAAGAAGGACCTTGTGCACACCCCAAGGGAGGAGGGTTTACGGGTGGAGCATTCGCCACAGGTGGCACAGAGCAGCTTGTCGGGGAAGAGCGGCAGGAAGCCGCAGGCAGAGCAGGCGTTGGGCTGCCAGCACTGCATTCCAGGGAGGACAGGCCCGCTAGACACCTGCTAGAGAGAAACAAAGGGAGCAGCAGGGGTGGGAGCAGCTAGGGGTGGGAGCAGCAGGGGTGGGAGCAGCAGGGGTGGGAGCAGCAGGGGTGGGAGCAGCCAGGGGTGGGAGCAGGCAGGATCAGCATTGGCAGCAGGCAGGGTCAGCATTGGCAGCAGGCAGGGTCAGCATTGGCAGCAGGCAGGGTCAGCATTGGCAGCATGCGGGCGTTCGAGTGAGCAGAGGCAGCTTTGATTGCAGAGCTCTCTGACGCTTCAGAAGAGAATGAGATTAGACAGGGAGCTTTACCCACGCATGGAAACAGGGAACACACCATACCTGCACTTGGGCTCGGTACCAAAGCTGGCACCACACCTGACTGCAGGCTTGGCACCAGTGCAGGTTTGGGAGAGCGCGCCGTACCTGCCGGAAGGCTTGGTAGTAGTGCAGGTGCTCGGGGTCCCGTATCCGAACCTGGTCCTCCCTCTTCACCCTCACCCTCTCTGCCTGAAACTCCTCCCGTGCCATCCGCCGTGCAAAGTGGCGTGTTAGTGCCACTGTTCCCGCCCCCACCTGGTATAAGGCACGGGGTTAGAAGTGTAAACAGGGGAGGGCAAAGAAAGAAGGAGAGACATTGAGTGGACTTGCCTCACCCTCTGCCTCTCTGCCTGAAACTCCTCCCCCCTTGCAAAGTGGCGAGTCAGTGCCGCTGCGCCAGCTCCCACCTGATGCGAGGCAAGAGGGCACACGGGGAAGCAGAGACGAGGGTGGCAAGGAGCACAGAGGGAAACCATTGAGTTGACTTTGAGCTCACTCCCCTCACTAAAACCGAGTTTTGAGTCGACTCAAAACGAGGAAACCATTGAGACGACTTTGAGCTCACTCTCCTCACTAAAACCGTCTCCCAACCACACACCTTGAGGGGGTCCTTTGACTGGCACACAGAAAGGACCTAAAAAAGAGGAACGACTTAAAAGAGGCCAAGAGGAGCATCAGGGCACGTGCACATAGCACCAATTAACCACAGCTACCTAGCCTCAACCCCCTTCACCACTCTGCACACCTCGATGGGGTCCTTGGCCGGTGGGCAGACACCACTTCAGGGAAGGCCATGCGCAGCAGCAGGTTGAGCAGCAGGGCACGCAGACATGGCATTAACGAGAAACAACCCATTGTGACACCCCTCCACCACTCTGCACACCTCAATGGGGACCTTGGGCCGGCGCGCGGAGACCACTTCAGGAAAGGCCATGCGCAGCAGCAGGTTGCCCTCGTTATAGTCACACCACTCCTCGCTGCGCCCCTCCCCCAGCAGCTCGTCCTTGGTCAGCCCCAAGGCAAACTCCTGCAGGGCCGGGTGCAGGAACGGCTGCCGAACCTGCAGGTCCGGAGGCAGAGTGGAAAAAGAGTTAGGCATGAGGAGGAAGGCAAAAGGGAAGCAGAGGGAAAATGCGGAAAACTGAGAAGGGAGCCAACACAGTTAAGTAGAACAAACTCACGTCCAGGCACTGTACTGAGTCTTTTCCAGAGCATAAATGTCTTAACAGATAAAGGTAAGCACTCGCCTCAAGGCCAAGAGCGTGGGCAAGGTCACGGCAGGGGAAGCGCAGCACATCCACCATGTGATGCCGACACTCCTGCAGCTTGGCATCGCTCATTCGCACCATGAAGTCAAAGCTGGCATATGCAAGACGCAGGAGGCAGGTATGAAAGGGGAGTGGTGCACACGGGGACAGGGGGTACACATTAGACAAACGTATGTTGAGGGGCCTGAGGCGAAGAGGGACAACGAAACGTCCAACGATCTGGGCAGTGAAATAACAGACAGCTGGTGGAAGTCATACCGTTGCCCATCCCATTCCTAACCAGCATACCGTTGCCCATCCCATTCCTAACCAGCATACCGTTGCCCATCCCATTCCTAACCAGCATACCGTTGCTGCCCAGATCGTTGGGCATACCGTTGCCCATCCCATTCCTAATTCTTTTCCCCCAAGGCACTCACGCGGTGAAGAGCTCGTCAGCGCCGTCCCCCACCATCACCGAGCAGAACCCCTGCCGCTTGGCCTCCCTCAGCCCCGCCGCCAGCACCACGCCCATGCGGATCTGACATGCACAAGGGGAGACGGGGAGGAGGAGCGGGGGGAAGAGAGAAGGGGGATGGGCGGAGATGAATTGCAGCAGATTCCGCCCGAGTGACGCATCGCCTTCCCCAGTTCCGCCGCCCCCACCACGCCCACGTGGATCTGCCCCCACAACAGAGTCACATTGGCTCACTGACCTCACCAGGGTCGAAGCTCTTCAGCACGTGCACCGCGAATTGCAACTCCGTCGCTAACAAATGCTCCGAATGGCACCCCTCCTAGGCCACACGGCAAGCTCCCAGCCCCAGCTCCCTTACCCGCTTTTCGAACCACCAGAGCCACAGAGGCACTCGCTTGCTCCGCTCAGCGGGGTCGAGGCTCTTCAATACGCGCACCACGAACCACAATTCCGTCTCCAGCAGATGCTCCGGTTGGAACCCTGCCTAGGCCACACCTAGTCACACCTGGTCGCACTGCAAAGCTCCCAGCCCAACCAAGCCACAGTCGTTCGCTCACCTCAGCGGGGTCGAAGCTCTTCAGTACGCGCACCACAAATCGCTACTCCGTCTCCAGCAGATGATCTGGCTGAAACCCCGGCCCACAAACACCACTGCAGCGGGAACCCTAGAGCGACTCTACCTGAGACACTCGCTCACCTCAGCGGGGTCGAAGCTCTTCAATACGCGCACCACGAACCGCAACTCCGTCTCCAGCAGATGCTCTGGCTGGAACCCCGGCCCGCCCCCCACAAACACATGCCCCCCGCTTCCCCCCGCGCCCATCCCCGCGCCCAGCTGGCACCCGCGCGCGGCCGCCGCCGCGGGCAGCCTGTCCGCGGCCTTGGGGCTCGCGAGCACTGTAATCGCGGCGGCGATGCTGCCCGGCCAGATGAGCGACGTGGCGGCGTGCGCGATGATGGTGGAGGCCAGCCCGCCCGACAGCAGCAGGCAGTCCGCGGGGAGCGAGTCCTCTATCGTCGCGAGGAACAGCGCGCGCAGCTGCGCGGCCTTGAGCGCCGCGCCTGTCAGGGAGATGGCGGGCGGAGGCGGGGACGCGGAGGGGGAGGCGGGGGAAGCGTCCTCCTGTTGCTGTTCCTCTTGTTGCTGCTCTTCCTGCTGCGGCTGCTGCTGCTGCTGCTGCTGCTGCTGCTGCTGCTGCTGCGGCTGCTGTTACATAAGGCTCTAGCGTTGCCTCTGGTTGCCTCTGTTGCTGTGACTCCTCCTCTAGCCTCAACTGAGTCAAAAACAGTTGCTGTATCCGCTCCTGCTCCTGCTCCTCCTGTGCCAATTTCTGCGCCTGCTCCTGCGCTTGCGCTTCCCCTATCCTCACTTCCTCTTCCTTCCTCTCCGCCTCTATCCCCGCCTCCTCCGCATCCTTCCCCCCTTTCCCCCGCTTCAGCCCCCACAGCGACCGCCTGGAGCTGCGCCCGGGGGGGGAGGGAAGGGGCGCCAAGGGCTCGGGGGAGGGCGCGGGGGGCGCAGCACTTGCGCCACCCGCCAGGCTGGTAGCAGCGGCAGCGCCGGCGGCAACAGCGGCGGAGGTGACGGCAGCGGCGCTGCTGCTTGCTGCTGTGACACTTCCCGTGTAACCAGGAGGCGGGCGAAGAGGAGCAAGCACTTCGCCGTTCGCCACCTTGGTCACCTCCCCCTTGCTGCTCCCCTGCCCTTGCAACTGCTGCGCGTGCCCCGCCTGCTGCTGCTGCTGCTTCCCCGCCGCCTTGGCCACCAAAGCCGCCTCCCGCGCCGCTTCCTTCGCCCCCTTAGCCGCTGCTTCCGACGCCAGTTGCGCAAACCACCCCTCCCCCTCGCCCTCCCCCCTGCTCCCGGCCCCTTTTCCCCCAGCGATGCCGCGCCCCGCATTCCCCCCCTTCCCCACATCCAGCTTTCCCCAGCTTTCCCCCGCCTGGTCGACCCCTCCGCCATCCCCCAGCAGCGCGCGCCATGCCCCCACGCACCCGCCCGTTAACTGCGCGTACGCCCTCCCCTCGTACTTAATCTCGATCTCCGGGAAATCCGCGCCTGCTGCCACGTGTCCCGAGCCCAATCCACGGCTGTTGCGGAAAGAGGAAAGCGGGCCGTCATTATCACCGCCAGCAGCGGCGCCAGAGCGGTTCACTACGGTTCTGTAGTTTGGGAACCGGCGCGCATGGAGAATTTCCACCATGATTTCCGCCGACTCAACTATAGTCGGCCCAGAGTTGTTAAAGTAACGGTCGCCGTCAGCCACGAAGACGGAATCCGTCTGAACCGCTCTCAACCGGTTCCACTGGGGCAAATCATCCAGGTTAAGAAACTCTCTTAGAACCGCTTCCATGGACAATCCGCAGCACATGGCGATGATGACGTCAGGGTCCAAAGATAGAAGGGTTTCCAAACTTAGCATGGCAGTGCGCTCCCCCGGCTGTGGGCGGAAGAAGGGCAAAAAAGAGGAACAGGGGGGAACGGTTGGAACACAGTGGTGGGTGGCATTGAGATGACAAGAGAGGGGAACGGTAAGGCTAATAGCGCCGGAGGTTACGCGGTTTACCTGCATTTCCCCGCCACCCACCCTTCGCTCATTCACCCTCCATCCCATGTACCACCTCCCCCATGTCTCACCTCCCCCGCGTCTCATCGTCCCCATGTCTCACCTTCCCCGACAGGCTCTTCCCCCCCGCGCACGCAACGATCTCCGGAACCCAGAACCCCGCGCCCATGAGAGGGCGCAGCCACTGCAGGCACACCACGCGCACGCGCGGGGACGATCCGCGCAGCGGAACCTGCCTGCGCACGAGCGACCAGCGCGCTTTGAGAGTCTGCACGAGCACGCAGCCCTTCTCCCTGTGCCCGACCGCCGCTGCCACCTGAACCATGTTGTCCCACACGTCCGAGATCGTGATTGGCTTGAGCGACACCACGTGGCACACGTGGCCAGAGTCTTCTCGCTGCTTGAAGTACTCCGCGCACGCCGCCTCGAGGTCCGCTACAGTCACCAGGCACACGTCGCACGCGTCCTGCGTTATAATCACATCTGGCTGCAGTCGCTTTATTGCTTCCACGTCCACGTGGTATCGGGAAAGGCTCTTCCGCACGCGCTGCGACAGCTGCGGTTGGGAAAAGAGGGAGCGGGGAACGGGGAGGGAGAGGGGGGGAGGGGGGGAACGGGGAACGGGGAGGGGGGGGGGGAGAAGGGGAAGGCAGGAGGGTTGTGATTATTTAAAAGGGCAGGACGAGACGACACAATGCAGCAGCTGCGGGAGAGGAGAACGCGGGAGTGCGGGACGAAGAGAATGAGAGGAGGGTAACATGGCTACGAGAAAAGGGAGAGAGAATGGCGGTGAGATAGATAGGGGAGAGAGAGGGAGGCCGAGGGGGGCCGGGGAAGGGGGGGGAAGTGGGGGAAAGGGGGGGTTGGGCGGGGAGAGTGGAGGGGGAGCGGGGTGAAGGAGAGCATTATCCATGGCTCCACATGACATCGGCTCGTCGCGCACTCACCGTGTCGTGCTTGGTGCCGCAGCTCGGTCCCTCCACGCCCGGTCCCGACTCGGGCGCCGTGACGCACGGCAGCGCGAGCACGGACGGCGGGAACTTACACTCATGCGACCGCCCCACCAGCAGATGCTCCAATCCTAGCGTCGCTACCACCTCCGTCGCGGCCCCCAGGAGCGATACAACCCTAAGCGCCCCATCCCTACCCCTGTCGCGGTCCCGGTCTCTGTTCCCACCGCCGACGCTAGCCCTGCTGCTGCTCGCTACGCTCGCGGTCGTTGCGCCGTTCGCCCCGCCGTGCCGGCCGCTGTTGGGGGTCGCGCTCCCGCTCTCGCTTCCGCTGCTGCTGGCTCGGCTGCTCGCGCTTGAGGTTCGGTCTGACAACTCGAGGCTCGGCACTGGCGGCTCTATCCGAAGCTTCAGCTGCGGGACTGGCGAGGTGCCGTCGTGCTGCTTTGACGAAGCTTCCTTGGCCTTTCTGTGGATACGCAGCGAGTCAGCCGTTTGCAGAACCATGGGCGACTCATCGTCTCTACCGGAACAGTCTATAGCGGGGCTGCCGTTAACGGGACGGTCCAGTGAGGAGCGTGCTGAGGTGGAACGGGAGGAGGTGGAGGAGAGGGAGGAGCCGGAAGGAACGGAGGAGGCAGCGGTGGAGGACGGTGAGGAAAGAGGAGGGCAATCATCGTCAACAAAGGCCCTGGTAACCTCGATAGTTACGGCAGGCGCGCCCGGCTCGCTCTTCCCCAATGCATAGCTCCTAGGCTTATCCTTCTTGCCCTTCCCTTTCCAGTCCAATAACGAGCCTCCGCTGGAGGTTCGGCTAGGCTTGACCCGAGCCTCCTCTGGAATCTCCTCGCCTGGCGGGACATGATGCGCTTCGGTTGCTGCTGACGTAGGTTCGGTTGTTGCTGCTGCTGAAGTGGACTTGGAACTGCCCCCCTTGCGACCGTCTTTAAGAAGCGACAGCCAGCTGCTGCTTTTCTTACGTGTTAGTGCCTGCTCGAGATGATGCATGGCTAAATGTTACGTTTGACGGAAAAAATCAATCAATGGAGAATTAATTAACTAACAGTGGGATGTGTGGCGCCAGTGACAAATGTAGGAAGTCAGCGTACCTACGCTCATCTAAACGCATCGTAACCTTCGAAAGCTATCTAGAATCTCTAAACACGTATTGTTGCTGACTGTTCCTAAGATGCTATCAACACAAAAGGTTCAATGCCGTTTCTTCCTTAGAGCTCGGTGAGAACCAACCTCCTAAAACCGTCTCAGTAGCCCATGACAAGACCATAAACAAAACCAGTCTCTTCCTGAGGACGACATTTTCCACACAATCAAGCTAAGACAGGACACTGTAGCTCCGCAAAGCGAACAGGTTAAAGTAGGTTCCTCTCGGTGAAAGGAGAGCTTGAGCCTGAAATTGGGGAGATGTTGCTTTGGTTTGGTTTGGTTTGGTTTGGTTAGCAGGACGCAAGCCACCAAAGGGAAGAGGGAGGGAAGGCCCAGTGGGTGGAAGAGGTTTGGTGGGGGCTTGGCTCGGTGGTGTGCCGAGCTGCGCAAAGCGTGGTCGCATTGCCTTCGTGATCCGCCGCACCTTCACCCTTCACTCTGATGTCTAGGAGGGAGGCTCGGTTTCTAGCACACTCGCTTTCCTTACCAAAACTGAGCACCAGGCTTGGAGAGGAAAAGGTAACAGCTATGCGGGAGCCACTACAGGTGGCTCTGCAATGCCGGAGCAGAAGGGATAGCTTGGGATACAACCAATTGCCGTAGCCTGTGTTTTCATCCGAGCCAAACAGGTGCATGTAAGCACCTTCAAAGCACGTGTAGAGGAGGGTGGAGGGGGAGCTGTGCCTTTTTGCTGAGGCAGGTTGGTTTGGTGTGGCGAAGCAAAAAAAGAACAAGCGCGAGCCAATCAGCGAAAGTCCTACGTGGGGTGTCTCGAAACAGCACAGCTGTGCGTTCGTTCCGAGCAGATCGGCCCAGTCAAGAATCTGCTGCTTGGTAGCATTTTCAAAGCAAGCTGCTACCTCGGATTTGCCGAACGTAGTGTGTCACGCGAGGTTTGGTACCCAACCAGAGTGACGGTATACCGCACCCAAACCGCTAGAGACGATGTTCTGGCTCGGCTGGGGCTTTCACACCGAAACCACCGCCGACGAGTCTGATTGGTTATAGAACCGAGCGCCTCGAGCTGTTCCGAAAGCGCGGGGCCGTCGTCATCCTTGAACCACTCGCGCCGCTTGAAGCTGGGCGGTGACACCACTGGACAGTGACAAAATCGATTGGATCCATACGGTACAGTGCTATTGAATTACAGCAGCTCGATGCCATACATTTGAACAATTGACAAATAATTAGGCTACACACAGCCTTGCCCACATATTTAACTAAATACCAAACACCATGATGTCATCAAGTCCTATCAACTAGCATGGTTTCGGCTTTGAAGTTTTTTTTCTTCCCACACCACCCACCTAAGTCGCATCTCCCGCATTTCAGCTTCTCTCTGGCATCTTCATCCCACCACCCCTCTTCCTGCTCTCCAGCCTGGGACAACCGCATTGGAAGGAAAATGGGAGAGAATCGAATGAGACAAAACGGTTGGAACCATGCGGATCACGAGGGGGCGGGCAGAGCAGGTACACTCCCCCCCCCCCCCCCCCCCACCTCCCCTTCGCCCCTCCCTCCCCTCCCCCCCCCCCCCTCCCTCCCTCCGGTCTCCTTATCAACAGGCCCCCCCACCCAGCCCTCTTCCCTTCCCATCCCCCCCCCCTCCCTCCCTCCGGTCTCCTTATCAACAGGCAATAGGTACTCACGAAGGGGCGAGCTTGCCCAAGCAGAGCAAATACTCTCCGGTCTCCTCGTCAAACACGTTGCCTGTGATCTCAATGCGGTAACCGCAGTCAGGCGTGCCCGGTAACCCGCGCTTCATCAGCCGCTCGAGGTCCCTGTGGTGCAGCTCCCTGCCGTTCACGTACACTCGGGTTGAGCCTCCGGCACAGGATTGTGGCATCACTACACCAAAGTCGATCCCAGGCTGGTGAGAGGGGGGAAGGGCGGGAAGGAGGGGGGGGGGGTTCAGGTCCCTGTGGTGCAGCTCCCTGCTGTTCACATACACTCAGGTTGAGCCTCCGACGCAGGATTGTGGCATCACCACACCAAAGTCGATCCCCGGCTGATGGGAAAGGTGTGGGGCGAGAGGGTAAACGGGATCAAGAAGAGGGTCAAGTATAGGAGGGAATACTCCAGTCCAGACTCGCAGTCCCCCGCACAGGATTGTGGCAGCACTACCCCGAAGTCAATGCCAGGCTGACGGGGGGAGGGGGGAAGGGAGGAGGTGGGGAGGAGAAGAGGGTGCTCGAAGACCTTCTGTTGCAGCTCCCTGCCGTTCATGTTCACGCGGGTTGAGCCCCCCACGCAGGATTGTGACATCGGCACACCATAGCCAGGGGGGGAAATGAGACAACGCCTGGCTGGCAGAAAAGGGGGGTGGAGAAAACGAGACATGGGGGCCAGGGGGAGAAGGGGAAGGCGAAGCGGGGTGAGGGAAACGAGGGTAAATCACCATGAAAGGCGTTCAGGAAAGGGACTTGGGGAGGGTGGTGATGATGGATGAATGAGAGGAGAGGGTTGAATGGAGGGGCTAGCATTGTGTAGTACGGAAGGGAGGGAGCGAGCATGCTGCCTGCCAGCTCAGCACTAGCAGGATGATGTGACCCAGTATGCTGCATGCCAGCTCAGCACTTACGGGGATGATGCCGAGGCATGGCCCACCCATCTCACCCCAGAAGCCTGCCACGTCATCATACCTGCCAGGCAATAGGGGGACAGAACACTGTCGCACAGTTACCACCGTAACCAGCAGGTGATGTGGCAGGCAACCAAGTGTTTTGAGTTGACTCGAAGCTGTCGCATGGTTACCACGCAACCATGTGTGCGAGGCAATCATCCTACCAGGCAATCATCCTCAATCCATTCATGCTGTGTGTGGCATGCCTCATGTTGCAATGTATGCTCCACGCTCCACGCACCATGTATGATGCCATGTATGCTCCACGCACCATGTATGATGCCATGTATGCACCACGCACCATGTATGATGCCATGTATGCACCACACACCATGTATGATGCCATGTATGCACCACGCACCATGTATGATGCCATGTATGCACCACGCACCATGTATGATGCCATGTATGCACCACACACCATGTATGATGCCATGTATGCACCACGCACCATGCACACACACCACGCACATGCACCATGCACCATGCACGCACCATGCACCCTGCACCACATACACAACCCAGCTCTCACCAGTAGTTGCCAGGGTGAATGGGTCCCACCCTCCGCTCTGCCACAGCCACATATTCATCTGGCAAAGCCTGCCCATTCACCATCACCACATCCCCCTGCGCACCATGAGTCTGCATGGCATACATGCACCACACACACACCGTGCACCAGCCACCTTACATGATACTCCGCACCTCCATGCCATCTTGCATGCTCCACACCACCATCTCACCAGTAGTTGCCCGGGTGAATGGGACCCGCCCGCTGCTCTGCCACAGCCACATATTCATCTGGCAGCGCCTGCCCATTCACCATCACCTGCCGGCTATACATCATCCCATCCTCCTCCCCCATGCCTCCCCCCATGCCTCCCCCCATGTTCCCTCCCATGTGTCCGCCCATGTTTCCGCCCATGCTTCCCCCCATGCTTCCGCCCATGCTTCCGCCCATGCTTCCCCCCGGCCCCCCGCCCATCCCCTGCTGCTGCTGGTTGTGTCCATAAGATGGCGCAGCCATTTCCCCCCCGTCCACTCCCCCCTGCCTGCCCATTCCCCCCGGCCCCCTCCTCCCCATCACCCCTCCGCCTCTCCCTGCCCCCATCCTCCCCCCCCCTCTCCCCCTTCCCCCGGGCCCTCTTCCACCCACTGCTCCGCCCCCTTGCCCGCCCATTCCGCCCCCCATCCCGCCTCCCCCGCCCCCTTCCGCCATATAATCATCAGACTCCCTGGAAAGCGAGCGCATGTGGTGGGGGGCGGGGGCGCCTCCCCCTCCGCCTGCCCCCATGCCTGGGCGGAACCCTCCCCCTCCCCCTGCGCCCCCCCCTCCGCTCATGCTCGCATTACCATCACTGTCATATCCGGTTCCCCCCGCCCCCCTCTGCTGCTGTTGGAGCGGGGAAGGGGAGGGGAAGCGCCCGCTCCCCCCCGCGCCCTGCAGCTGCTGCTGACTAGGATGCTGCTGAGCTGGCGGCTGCGACGGCGGCGGCTGCTGACTTGGCGGCAGCTGGTTGGCGAAGCGCGGGTCGGCGGGGTTGACCTGGAAGCGAGAGACTCGCAGGCACTTGCCGCAGCGAAGCTTCTGCACGCCCTTCTTGGCCGGGGGGAGTTGAAGCGGCACTTCCAACAGCTGGGAACAGCGCTGGCACTGCCGGGGTTGGGGTGAAGGGGGCGGGAAGGGGGAGGGAGACAGGGGTTGACCTGGACGCGAGAGGCACAGCTTCTGCACGCCCTTCTTGGCCGGGGGAAGTTGAGGCGGCACCTCAAGTAGCTGGGAACAGCGCTGACACTGTGGGGGGATGAGAAAGGGTTGAGGGGGGCGAGAGGGGGAGGGGAGACAGGGGTTGTGCTGGAAGCGTGAAACTCGCAGGCACTTACTGCAGCGCAGCTTCTGCACGCCCTTCTTGGCCGGGGGAAGTTGAAGCGGCACGTCCAGTAGCTGCGAGCAGCGTTGGCACTGCAAGAGAGCACCAAAGGAGGGGGGGAGCGGAGGGGGAGGGGAGAGAGAGGTTGACCTGGAAGCGTGAAATTCGCAAGCACTTGCCGCATTGCAGCTTCTGCACGCCCTCCTTAGCATGGGCAACGCTGGGCAGGGGAACAGGGGAGTGGGGGGAGGAAGCGGAGGAGAGGGAGAAAAATGGGCGGGGGAAGAGGGGGAGAGGGGCCGCTGCATACCTGCACCACTTGCGGCGCGCTGGGGGGGGGCAGCATGGGCAGCACTGGGAGGGGGAAGCGGGGAGTGGGCAGCATACCTGCACCACTTGCGGCGCGTTGGGCGGGGGCAGCATGGGCAGCGCGGCGGCCTCGTGCTGCTGCTGCTGCGTGGGTAACATTGGGTGGCGGGGGGGTTTGGGAAAGGGGGAAGGGAGGCAAGCGGACGCAGCATACCTGCACGACTTGCGGCGCGTTGGGCGGGGGCAGCATGGGCAGCGCGGCGGCCTCGTCCTGCTGCTGCTGCGCCTGCATGTGCTGCAGGCGCCGCGTGAAATTCGTGTCCGACGCATCAGACATATTCCCCGCCCCCGCCCCGTAATACTCGTCTTCCGCCCCCTGCTGCCCCTGCCCCCCCCCCTGCCCCTGCCCCTGCGCCTGCCCCTGCTGCTGCTGCATCATCTGTTGCTGCCCCCCTCCCCCCATCTTCCGCCCCATAGCCGACCCACTTCCGCCTCCCCCCATCATCCGCCCGGAATTAGCGCCGCCCTGCGCGCCCCCCCACTGCTGCTGCTGACGTGGCGTCGGCTGGAACTGCTGATCTTGCCCGTAATGCTGCTGCGGATCCTGACCGTACATCCCGTCTTGATACCCCTCGGCCTCTCCCCCGCCGTACCCCATTCCGCCTTGCGGGGAGTATATGTTACCATCTCCCCCGGGATACTGCCCCCCGCCTGCGCGGAACGGGCTCCCGGACCGATCATATCCCCCTTGCGGGTTTGGCGCAGCGCCCCCCGCCCTGCCTCCCCTTCCCCCTCCCCCTCCGCCCATCATCTGGCCGCCGCCGTACCCGCCGCCATCGTCGCCGAATCCGCCACCGCCGTAGCCCGTGGGCGTTTGCGCCGCGCTGCTGCGCTTGAGCGCGGATTTCAGCAGCGGCTGTTGCGGCAGCGCCTGCTGCATTCCCTGCATGCTCATCGAATCATCCCCGCCCGCACCCGCGCCCATGGGGGACCGCGACCGGCTTGCGCCGCTTGCGGACTTGCGCATCCCGCTTTGCGCGGGGCTTCCGCTTCTGCCCGCTGCGCCTGCCCCGCGTCCCCCGGCCGCCCGTCTGCGCGCATCGACTTGCGTCAGTGATCGTCCCAGCTGCTCCTCCCCGCTCCCATCTCCCCCCCCTCCGCCTCCCCCTCCCCCCATTCCTCCCCGCTCCCCCCCGTGTTGCGGAAAACCCGCCGCGGGTCTCCCCCGCGGCTTGCTCCCCATCGTCATCGACCGCCCGAGATCCGATTCTGTCGGATCCTCGTCCTCGTCCGGATGCGCCTGTTGCGGCGGCGCTCTCTGCTGACGTGGCTGCGCGGCGCGGACATTTTGCTGCTTCCCCGGGGCCTTACCAACCATGGAGAGTGTTCGATTAAATCGCGGCGCGGCGGCGGGCTCCATGTCATCGTCGTCGTTCATCTTAGATTGCGATGGACGGTGGATCATGGAGTTGATGCGATTGAATTGCTTTTCCTGCCCGCCCTTGCTCGGCCCATCGCCGCGAAGTTTGGTAACCGTCGTTCGTTCGCCCGGTGCTTTTTTGCGAACGACGGGGCGATCCTCGGATGAGTCTTTTAACGGGACGGTTCGCGTCGAGCCTTCGCGGGCCCGGCGCTGCGGGGCGGGGCCCCGTTCCATCTCCACCAGCTTTTAGCTAAAAGTTCAAACTTAGTCAGTGACTAGCCATGAAAACCCAAATCGTTAACCTAGGGTGTCACCCAGTCCCTAACAACCCGAAATGTAGGCAAGATCCCGAGAAAATAAAATGAGTTCAACAACTAGGCCTGCCACAAAATACCGTAGCACAACATGGCTACATGGTAGTCGTCATGTCCGTCCACTTAATTAGTAACTGATGAGTATTGCAAGGCGGAACGACGACACTGGGGAGTGGGGCTAAGGTTGAGATGAGATAGAGGGCAAGGGAAGAGGGGGTGGTGGAGGAAAGGCGTGGATGGAGGAACAGAGGCGACCTCAAGCCAGTATGATCAAGGGCCGAGGTGCACACTTTTGGCGGCAAGAGTCAGGTGCTGGTTTGACGATACGAGACGATGAGGCAAGCAGGCAGGCAGGCAAGAGGAGAAATCGAGGAAGGGTTGATTGGGGTGGTCGACAATATCAATGCTGTTTTGGTAAGTGCGGTGGAGGGGGGGTCTTGTTTCTGGGATTCGGAGTGGAGACAAGACAATCGGGTGCCCCGAGGCTTGATACAAAATATAAGCATTGTACTTAGCCGAAAGGTACGGTTGATACGCTCGTTGCATTTGGTGGGGGCTCGCTAGGGTCATAACGCGTTGGCGGTATAACATTTTGGTGATACAAAGGTTTGGGAGCAATGATATATTCAAGAAATGGCTTCATAGGATAATGCATTATGACCGATTGGTTCTTAATTTTCTCAATGGAACTAAAGGTAGTATATGTACATCTGGTTGATCTTGTACCGAGTATCACTTCTCTGTGATCTGTACATCCCTGCAGCAACTGTGTGTTGAGGATGTCGTTATCAGCACGGTTTTGTAGGATTCATGTAGGTGCGATGAGGTGATATGTGATAACGTCGACGCGAACCATCAGGCATGGGATGCACGACGCGCAACCCTGCGTCGTCGAGGCGTTACGTACGGGCTGGCTGGCCCCCATCTCAACCAATCAGAGGACTCTTTCGGGCATCACTCCAGCACAAGCTGCCCGAATACGCCACACGGCAGGTCAACCTGAGACGAGACGAGACCTTGGTCTGCACCGTGCCTCTCAGCGCACACACACACTCGTACAGTACCCAAACCAAGCCCGAGACTGAGAGTGAAGGGCATTGCTCGCCCACCATTCCCTGCGACTGATTCGGCAATATCCGAGCCAACCCCAAGGAAATGAAATGACGTGTACGACTCCTTGCGCCAGCCACACACACACCTCTCCTCTGCTCCCCCCACCCCACCTTCACCATAACAACTCCCTACCTAGGTCCTCGAGGGTATACAGTTCTACTTGCCATAACTCCCTATGTCCGCCTTCATTTGAGTTCATTGCCTTGCCTCCTTTTCACCCTCTCTGATGCAAGCAAGGCCGTCACCCCTTGAGAGCACATAAACGGAAGGTGACGTAACCTGACGTTAACTGACTGCCATTACCACCGGCGAAATCGGCGATTCGGCGTATCTGGTGTTGCTGCAACTCAGACACGAGACAACAGATTGGTTGTCTTCGTGTTCTGGCAAGAACTTACCGACGCAGCCCTTGTTTGGGATATGATCCTCATAAATTATCATGGATGATCCGCCATGATTTCAGGAGAATCTTTCGCCAATTTTTTTACCTGCCGCCCGTCATACGTTTTGGGAGTATTTTGAATAGATAAACGCGATAATGGTTGTCTAGAGTCCTCCTTGTCGGCGCCTCCTCTCGTAATTACGGCAGGGACTGTTCTATTTCGGATTAGTCTAGAACGGAACAGCCTGTAAAGGCTTACATGGCATCGCATTTATGGTTGCGGAGAAGTAGAATAAGATCAAAGGTAGCACCAAGACAACGATTATGCGATTCAACGGCTCAGATATGTTGTCGGACAATGGCCCGCTGCAGCAATCTCAGTCGCTCGTTCACACACCGACGGAGCAACAGCAGCAACAGCAGCAACAGAAGGAGCAGTAGCAGCAGCAGCTGCTCGGCACTGATCATTGTTCTTCTAGCCTTCGCACACGTGGTGGCTGGAGGACGACCACATGGAACTTCCGATTCGATAGAAGCGTTCCCGCTGCGCGCTCAAGTCGTTGGAGGAAATTGTACGTCCTGCAGTGTGCCTGTATGCAGGAAACCTAATTGAGAGTCAGAATGTTCGGCTGTCCAACCCTAACGACCTTGTACAGTCTGTCGCGATAGAAGAACATTCGCTACACTCTGTCACATGCCCGTGTCTCGTCCTCTGTACCCTCGACCCGCCGCATGCCCGTCTACTGCTATACTTTCTTTCATCGCCTTCCCTATCTCCCAGTCCCCTTTACCGTTTCTCCCCATTCTCCGATCCATATTCCCCGTTCCCCTATTCCCCATCCCGGTTCCTCTCGTCTCCCCGCTTGCCTGTCCAACCTCGGCTCGTTCCTCCTCTCACTGTTGACGCGTCTGCACCCGTCTGCACCCGTCTGCACCCCTCCCACCCCCACCCCCCTCACCTCTCCACCCTCCCTTTCCCCCCTCCTCCCCTCCCCCCCCTTCACCCGTCCCCTTCCTGTACGTGCCTCCGTACCGACAGGGCATCGACGGCTGTCATCAGCAGCAGCAGAATCAGGCAACGATCCGATAGCCGATGCTATCGCCTCCTCCTCCCCCACCTCGTCGTCGCTCTCATTGTCATCTTTATCATCCGCCGCAGTCTCGCGGGCGGGGTTCGGGAAAGGGGGGAGTGCAGGTCCGGAGGCGCCGTACGTGTATATGTCGGCGTGCGTGGCCGTCCCCGCCTGCAATGGCACTACCTACCCCAACCCTTACGTTTACAAGGCGTCCAGCGAGTGCGCGTGCTGCCCGCCCGTTATTGTCACGCTCGAACTCTCCTCGCCGTCCGATCAACTCGGCAATCCGCGAATCACGCCGTCCGTTGCGGACTCGCTCAATTCACATGTCGAATCCGTGCTAGGGCTCTCCAGCGGTCAGGTATTTTCTCTTTAGCCAATTCTGTCCAATACTCATCTAACACCATCTCGTTCCTTGTGTTTCGCGATGATCGTTGAAACGTCTCAAGTTGCATCTCCCCTCGCTCACCCTCTCTTTCTCACAGCCAGGTGTCCTCTTTGGCGTGAACAGCGCTGACACCTCGGACACCACCACGTTCCTCGTGCTCCTGAGCATTGATACAATCTCACATTACCCTCTCTCTCCCTCTCCCTTTCACCCTCTCCCTCTCACCGTCAGGTGTCCCTCTTTGGCGTGAACAGCGCTGACACCACTGACACCACCACGTTCCTCGTGTTCCGCAATGACACGCTGGCGTGGAGCGGCGTTGACGTGGCAGAGATGGTCAACCGCCTACGAAACGACTCCGCTCTTGCTGCCCCTGAGTTCGCCTACGCTGCGCTTCTGAGTGCTTCGGCTGGCACGCCCTCTAACGTTCGCACCGCTCCCAGCATGTGTGAGTCGAACCACAATTGAGTCGAAGCAAACAGCTTTGAAAATCGACCCAAAATGTCTCCTGCACGGTGACTGCTGCACCCTTGCCCTGCTGCTTTTTCTGCCTCATCGATTACTGCTGCCTCGCCCGTGTCTGCTGCCTCGCCCATTGTCACTGCCTCCCCAACCACGTGTTCAATGGCAGATTACCCGCCAGGGCAGCCTATTCCGCCTCTGCTGCTCGCCTCGCCAACACCTCCCTCAGGTACGTCCTCCACCACATCCCGTCTCCCTCAGGTACGCCCTCCACCACATCCCGTCTCCCTCAGGTACGCCCTTCACCACATCCCGTCTCCATCAGGTACGCCCTTCACCACATCCCGTCTCCCTCAGGTACGCCCTTCACCACATCCCGTCTCCCTCAGGTACGCCCTTCACCACATCCCGTCACCCTCAGGTACGCCCTCCACCACTAAGCACGTTCCCCTGGTACGCGTTCCACCCACAAACCTTCTCACCCTACCTCTCCCTCCCCATCCCACCCCTCCACCACCCCTCCCTTCTCTCTTCCATCCCACCCGCACTGTTTCCCTCCCCTCCCATCCCAGACAACAACACCACGAGCAGCAGCAATGACAGCGACAGCAGCAGCAGCGAGCCCAAGTGGTGGACCATTCTGCTCATCGTGCTTGCAATCATCTTCACCCGCTCTCCCTTCTTTCTGTCCACCTTCCCCCTCAACCCAGCCAATAGCACCACGAGCAGCAACACCACAAGCAGCAGCAGCAGCGAGCCCAAGTGGTGGACCATTCTGCTCATCGTGCTCGCAATCATCTTCACCCGCTCTCCCTTCTTTCCGTCCACCTTCCCCCTTAACCCAGCCAATAGCACCACGAGCAGCAACACCACAAGCAGCAGCAGCAGCGAGCCCAAGTGGTGGACCATTCTGCTCATCGTGCTCGCAATCATCTTCACCCGCTCTCCCTTCTTTCTGTCCTCCTTCCCCCTCAACCCAGCCAATAGCACCACGAGCAGCAACACCACAAGCAGCAGCAGCAGCGAGCCCAAGTGGTGGACCATTCTCCTCATCGTGCTCGCAATCATCTTCACCGGTGCTGCCCTAGCAGCCGCCGCGTTCACATATTACCGTGCCAAGCTGGCAAGGGAGCTGCTGCTGCGGCAGCAGGCGATGGAGGAGGAGCAGCGCAGGGAGAGGGAGGAGAAGGAGAAGCAGGAGGAGGAGGAGAAGGAGAAGGAGAATGGCGAGGAGCCGGGGTCGCTCAAGACGACCGACAGCTGGTCCATGCGGAAGACCA